ATTGCTGGAAGTCAAAATTGATTTTCTTGATATCCAGTTACTTGCTGGACGTGATGGTACATGCCTGAAATCCTAGCACACAGGGAGGCAGAGGCAGGTGGATCTCTATGAGTTGGAGGCCAGCCTGGTCTACAAAGTGAGTCCAGGATAGCCAAGGCTACACAGAGAAACCCTGTCTCGAAAACAACAATAACAACAAAAAACAAACCAATATATATGTATGTATGTATGTGTGTGTGTGTGTGTGTATATATATATATATATATATATATATATATGTATGTATGTATGTATGTATATATCACACACATATCCAGTTACTCTTCTAAAATACCTAATTTTAAATGCTTTGAATGTTTCTGTGGTGTTGTGTGCATATAATTACAAATGAATACATTGTTTTATGTTTACTGGTTATTTTTTGTTTTATATTAAGTTTTCTAAGACCTCCAAAAACAATGTTTAACAGTTATAAGCAGCTCATTGTTCCTGTTTGTCATGGAAATGGCTTCACTGTTGTGTAACAGTTATTGTTTTGTAGGGGTTGTATTAGAGTTGGGGGAAAAGTATCATATTTAAGTAATTTCATTTTATTACTTCACCGGATGTTTTGTGAGGAATGGTGGCTGAACATTATCAAATGACTTAAAATTGCAATACAATTGTAGTCAACTTAAACTTTTACAAATTGGATTCAGTTTGCTGTTTTGGTTTTTTGCACTTCTGTTTTAAACCTTCTCAGCTTCTATTGGTGTTTATAAGCTTATGAAAATTGTGTATTGTCCTAAAAAGCCTTTATTGTCAGCTTGATAAAGTCTAGAGTCATCGGGGGTTAGAATTGCCTAAATCAGATTAACTTGTGAACAGGTCTGTGGGAGTGTCTTAGTCAGCAACCTTTAAACTCAAAGTAAACTCAAAAGGATGAAAGAGTAGAAGAGAGGACTGGTTGGAGTGAGGAAGGAGATCAGCAGGTAGAGCAAGACGAAGGGTCAGGCAGATAGCACACCATCAAATAAATATGCACATATGAATGTGTTTTAATGAAACTCACATAGAATTAATATATGCCACTGAAATCTTTCATCCTCTCTAAAGCAGCCATTTAAGATTACGGTTTCTCAAAAAGTATAGAGGAACTCATAGGAGGAATGTTAAGTAACAAAATGTTTCCAAAAGGACATGGTGAAATTTCAGAATCCCCAAAAATGGGATATGAATTCTTACTTGGATAAAATATCAAATTTATGTAAAATATTTGAAATTGTTAATAAGATTATACTAAAAAATATACCTTGGGGGTTCTATAAAACAGAGCAAACTGACAGTCCATCAAAACAAGGGATTCTAGGCTCTTAATTTATAGAATTAGAAGAAAATAATCTCCACAAGAGAAATACATAGTAGAAGGTAACTCTTTTAAGATAAGTGTTCTAGTTTGTTGTGTTATTGAGTACTCTGACAAAAAAACAACTTGAGAAACACTGTTGAGGGCAAGACCGATGGGGAATGTTGCTTGCTGGCTCGCTCACCTCAAGCTCATGCTTATCTAGCCTTCTTGTATAACCTAGGACCACCTGCCTAGGGATAATGATGCTCTTACAGCCATCCTCAGTGTTCAGTGCTAATGCAGTTATGCTGTATCACTGAAGAACACGTCCCCCAGGCTGTTGACATAGCTCAGTGGTAAAGTTATTGCCCTATGAGCATGAAGGCTTGAGTTGAGATCCCCAGTACCCACCTAGACACTTTGGTCTGTCACTCCTGTCCAACCACTAGAGCTAACATGGCAAATTCAGTGACCCTGTCTCAAAATATAGAGGAAGATGCCATTTGCCTTCAGTAAGCATTCTGAGTGAAAGAATAGACTCACTAGAGTAGCTTTGATTTTTTTCCATTACTCTGATGACTAAGAATTTTGAACACTTTCTAAAAGTATTTATTGTGTTTTTTTTGTGTTTATTTTTCAGAACTCTCTTCAGTTATATAGCACATTATTTTTTATTTGATTCTTTATCTTAATGTGTTTTTAGTCTTGGTATATTCTAGATAGTAATCTGTTGATGTATAGCTGGCAACGATTCAGATTCATTCTGTAGACTGCTTGGTTAACGGTTTTCTTTGTTGTTTGGAAACTTTTTTTTTTTTTTTTTAATTTCATGAGGTCCCATTTGTCTATTTGTTGGCCTGATTTCCCAAACGACTACAGTGCGGTTCAAAAAGTCCTTGCCCAAGCCTGGAGTGTTTTATCTACTTTTTCCTCAAGCAGTTTCAGAGTTTCCAGTCTTATGTTATATTTGGGGTTGACTTTTGTTCATGGTGAAAATAAGCATCAAGTCGTACTCTTCTATAGATAGACATCCAGTTTACTAAAGGCCATTTGTTAAAGAGGCTACCTCTTCTCCCTTTAGTATTTTTGGCATCTTTGTAAAAACATACAGACAAAACAAAACAAGAAAAACAAGGTGGTTGTAGCTATATGAATTTTTATCTGGATCTTCTGTCTATTGCATTGATCTGTGTGTCTGGTTTTTGTTGTTGTGTGTTTGTTTTGTTTTTGTTAGTACCAACTGCTGCATTATTAAAGCTCGTAATGTAACTTGAACTTAGGTATAGTGAAAACATACAGCATTATTGTATGTCTGTCTTAGTTACTTTACACGTTGCTAGGACAAAATGTATGGCAAAAGCCATTTAAGGAAGAGAGGGTTTTAGTTCACAGTTTAAGGTTATGGCCCCTCCTGGTGGAGGAGTCATGGCAGCAGGAGCTTGAGGTGACCAGTGACATTGCATTGGTTTTTTTCAAGGTGTGTGTGTGTGTGTGTGTGTGTGTGTGTGTGTGTGTGTGTTTTCACTGCAGTTGTGAATGGGATTCTTTCTCTGATAGCTTTCTTAGCATACCATTGGTATATATATGAAGGCTACTGGGTTTTGTATGTTAGTTTTTTTTTTTTTATCTTGCCATTTTTCAGAGTTTATACTTCTGACAGTTTTCTGGTGGAGTCTTTAGGGTCTCAACTGTAGAATTATATCCTCTGCAAATAAGAATAGATTGACTTCTTTCCTTTTATTCCATTTTATTCAATTTTTGTCTTACTGCGGTAGCTAAGACTTGCACTGTCATATTGAATAAGAGTGAGTTGAAAAAAGGGCAGCCTTGTCTTGCTCCTGGTTTTAGTGGAAATGCTTTTGAGTCTTGCCTATAGCATATAATGTTTACTGTGTTATATTCCCAGTGTCTTCAAGACTTTTATCATGAAACACTTTCAAAAACCTTTTCTGTGTTTTTTGGGGAGATGACCATGTAATTTCTATCCCTGTCGATTTATATAATCTGTAATGTTTATTATAAACAACCATCCCTTTGTCTCTGGAATTAAGTCAGCTTGATCATGGTGAATGATATCTTTTGGTGTTTTCTCAAATTTAGTTTGCAGATGTTTTGCTAAGTTTTTCTTGTTTGTTTTAACCTTTGTCATCTTGGTTACTGTTCTGTTGCTGTGAAGAGACATCATGACCAAGGCATCTCTTATAAAAGAAAGTATTTGCTTATGATTTCTGAGGTTGATCCATTGTCCTCACAGCGAGAATTATGGTGGCACCTATTGTGCTGGAGAAGTAGCTAAGAGCTTTACATCCTGATCTGCAAGCAGGCAGGTAGAGAGAGAGAGACTGGGCCTGCATGGGCCTTTGAAATCTCAAAGCCCTCCTCCCCCAGTGACACACTTCCTCCAACAAGGCCTTACCTCCAATCCTTCTAATCCTTTCAAATTATTCACTCCCTTGTGACAAAGCATTCAAATATATATGCCTAGGGGGGCTGTTCTTCTTCAAACCATCACATATGTCCATCAGAGAGATTGGTGTATAGTTTTGCTTTTTTTAATGTCCTAATCTGGTCCTAGTATCAGAATTAATACTGGCTTTATAAAAATAATTTGGTAGTGTCTGTCTCTTCCTATTTTATGGAAGAGAGTCAATGTATTTGGACTTGGACTTTGACTAGTTGGGTGTTTGTTTTTGTGTTTTATTTAACTAAACTTATGACATGTATTTACAGGGGTGGTATGTGATGGTTAGAGAATAGTTTGTGAAGAGTTAGCTCTTTGTTCCATTATGTGAGTCTCAGAACCAACACCTGTTGAGCCAGCTCACTGGCTGTGGGAGATTTTTTTTTAATTGCTGTTTTTGTCTCACTACTTGTTATAGATTCCTTTGAAGTATTCAGCTCCTTTTGGTTTAATTTTGGTAGGTCATACCAAAATTATTTCATTTTTTTTTTTTTAAAGATTTTTTAACTTAGTGGACTGTCTATAATGTTTTTAAGGTATGTCTTTGCAATTTTCCTAACTAACTAGATTGTTGTACAGGCTTCCTTTTCATCTCTAAGTTTTTAAATTGGTTCTTTTTTTCTTTTGGTTAGTTTGGCCAAGGGTTTTTTGTTCTTAATCTTTCCAAAGAACTAACTTGGTGTTATTAATAATATAATCATTATTTGTTTCTATTTCATTAATTTCTGTCCTGATTTTGTTTCTTTTCATCTACCGATGGTAGGTTTTTCTTGTTTTTGTGTTTTTCAGAGCCCTAAGGTATACTGTGAGGTTATTTGAGATCTCTCAGATTTCCTTATTGGCACGTAGAATGTAGTATTGATATTTTGTGTGTATGGAGGTCAGAGGAAGATTTGTGAAAGGCAGTTCTCTCCTTCCACTATGTGGATCCCGAGGATTAAACTCAGGTTATTAGGCTTGCCACTGAGCCATCTTTCCAGCTCTTACTAATATTTTAAATGTATTTATGAGTGATTACTATAGTTTATTGGTAATCTAGGTTTTATTGATGGTTAATAGTGCTCTTTGTTGCACTATAATAACATTTCTGTGGCTACCTTAGGAGCCTCAGTTTGGACTTGGTTCTGATTATGTTTTTTTAGAGTGTTTAGTGATTTGTCCATATCTGACTGTAATAACCTGCATTTCCTTTCCTTTGTTCTCCAACAGCTACATGGGAATTGGTCTTTCTGCTCAAGGTGTGAACATGAATAGACTACCAGGTACACTTGCAAGTGAATTACAGTATTGTTAGAGCCTGACATTTAGGACTGACATTTCTGCTTAAACCTTTCAAGTAATTGAAATAGCTGAAAGATAACTTCTTAAATTTTGATCACTCATATTATGCATTCTGAGTGGAAGTTGAGTGGGTTTTAATGTATTTAAATTTCATGTTCCTCTGTAGAACTTACATACCATAAAACCTATGCTTTATTTTCCTGTTTGTTTTGTCCTTTTTAATTTTATGTACTTGTACCAGCCACTTGAAACATTTTATCGTCCCTGGTTCTGTTGCCACATCCCAGCCTATAACCCATGTTAGTTGTATGACCTTGTGAGACTATGGACAGATGATACAAGTGAGCTCAGGAGTGTGTGGACAATGTAGAATACTGTGCGAGAACCAGCTAGCAGAAGGAATTGATTCTATTTCCTGATGTTAAAAATCAGTAGTAGCAGATTTATTTTTTTTCTATAAAATGAAAACTGACCTATACGGAACTCCAGGAAATACATTGTGATGGGAACACATCAACCCAGTGTCACTGCCATCTACTTGTATTCATGTGTAGCTTGCTGTACTGACACATTGTGCAGTTTTGCTAAAAGTTATGAGGGTATAAGTGGGGTCTTAATTATGATAAATAAGAATGTATGTAGTTGAGTATAAAAAATACTACAAATTACATGCCTTTTTTATAATCTATTTTCATCAAAGTATGTGTTATTCAAATTAAAGCAAAATTTCTTTGCTATATTAACTAAAGAAGTAATACATGGAAAAATGTCCTGCATGATTGCTGTGTTGATGTTCGTGTTCCTGGTAGGAATCCTTTCTCTTCAGTACTTTTTTAAGTGTGTGTTCTGGGTGGTGAATTTATTTTCCTTAATGTTGTAGACAGCATTTTAATGCTAAAATCACTGTATAGTGTAGTTGTTGAGAATGTGGATATACATTTGGAGATTTTTATTTGTATATTATCTGTTGTGCTCTTCTGGCTTATCTTACAATGTTAAGTGAGTAAATGACTTCTGAGGAGCCTTGTTCTTCATTGTAAATATACTGAACCTATCTCTCCAGGTTGGGATAAACATTCATATGGTTACCATGGGGATGATGGACATTCATTTTGTTCTTCTGGAACTGGACAACCGTATGGACCAACTTTTACAACTGGTGATGTCATTGGCTGTTGTGTTAATCTTATCAACAATACCTGCTTTTACACGAAGAATGGACATAGTTTAGGTACTGAGATGTTGTATTGAAACAAAATAGCCCAATACTGTAATTATTTTACTAATGCATGATGGTTGTGTTTATTATGTGATTTTGTTTAATGGACAGATGCCTTTTATCTGTCCATGTGGGTGTTAAGGAAGTGATAAAATTTGTATCCTGTGAAGGCTAATTTATGTACAGAAGTAATACTAGAATATTAGTAATACTATAAGTACTACCTAGTACTGAGCCATTCATTCTAGTGATAGAAATGCTAGGTTTGGCTTGGGGGGAGGGTGTACTTTACTAGTTATTCAATTCTCTAATACAACTTAAATCAGTTCTAGGAAGAGTGCGGGTGACAGTTAAAGGGAATGCGTATTTCAATATTTCTAGTAAAAGAACGGATGGACATACTTAACAGTTAGACGTGCTGATGGTTTTTGCTGAAGGATGATGTCTGAGACAAGTCTGTGGCCCAGGATGAATAACAGAAATAAAAGACGTGGGCAAAAAATCCGTTAGCACAAAGACACAGTGTAAGGAAGTAAGAACTAAAGGCTTTAGCTGAACGTGCATATGCTTGTTAGTTAGCTTTGTGTGTTGTAAAGATGTATTTTTATTTTATTTGTATGTACACATAGACATGTTTGTGTGAATGTATGCCATATATGTGTGGGTGCTGGAAGAGGCCAGAAGAAGATGTGGGATCTGCTGAAGCTGGAGTTACTGGTAGAACTGAATTTGGGTCTTCTGGAAGAGTAGTCAGAGTTCTTAGCTGCTGAGCCATCTCTCTAGCCCACTTTTATTTTTAAATTGCAAGAAGTATAAAAGGTAGTAAGACTAATGTTTTTTAAAACCTCACATTTTTACTTTTGGGGAAATTACATGCTTATAACAGATTATTTATAATGGACTCAGGTGAATAGAAGCAAAAATAATTAGAGGGCAGAAACTGCTTTACTTCTGAATAGTGTTTTGAAAGTTAGCCTGTAAGCAGTCTGCTTGTCTATGTAATGGAATTTCAGAAATGACAAATGTTTGTGCTTCATTGCATAGAAGAAAATTCTCTAAGTTTCATTTTGCATTGCAGCAGGTGTTTGTAGTGCCTCGGCACAGTCGCATGTAAAGTCTTTGCATTTCTGTCTGGCTTAATATTTTCACTTAGATTTTTTTTTTAAATTCTGAAACTCTTCTCTTTTGTGTGAATTAAATTGTTATAAGTCTGAAAAAAAAAGTCTTATTCTCATCCGTGTGTCATGTTAATGATCCCATATAGATTATATGCAAAGTAGTTAGTTGATACTAGTCTTTGTACTGGCTGTTAAAATGTTTTAAGAGGTTAAACTTAAGGGAAGATTGCTTCTAGTTTGACAGCTCAAAAGATGCAAAACAAGACATTTTTAGAAAACCGTGATTAGTCTTTTTAACACTAGTTTTTTAAACTTTTCAGAGAAGAAATTTTATTTTGGGAGATGGGAAGATCACAGGTGATGAGATTTTTTTTTTCATACTAGATTTTCACAAACATTTAAATCAAGCCTTTTCATTGAATAAGAAAGCCATTTTAAGAGGTAAGATGCTTAAGAAAAGGGCTCATAATGATGGAGTTCAGGGTCAGGGTCTGACTATATAGTTTTGTATAAATTAGAAATGTTTGGTGGTATTGATACATCCGAAAAATATTGAGCTTGTAGGTAGTATAATAGTGCTCAGAGTCCTTCAGTCAGTCTTGGTGGGGTTTGATTTTTTTTTTTTTTTTTTTTTTTGTCTTTTTTGCCATGTGACCTTTGGCAACTCACTGAACATTTCTAAGTTTATAAAAACAAAGTAACTATAACACCTGCCCCAGTAAACTCATCACAGAAAGCTAAAATGATAACCTGAAAAGTTACAGATGCTAGGTACCTCTATCTGGAGGCCCTAGGCTGGGTGTCAGGGCTGCAGAGATCACCCTGGTTAGCAGAAGCTATCCCTGTGAACAGGGTTTCTATAGGAGCGACAGCCAAAACTCCTTCAGAGCACAGCCGCACCTGTCTATTCATTTACAGATTTTCTATGGTTGTTTTCCTGGGGCAAGAAGTGGTAGAGTTGAATAGTGGTGACCGACTGTTATCAGAAAAGCAGGAAGCTAGTTGTCCCCGGTCTTCATGCTTTTAGTCTGGACTCTAGAATCTAGAAGATAAAATGCTACTCAGCTGCTATTCTTGCCTCTTCCCATGGGCGTGTATATAGGAATATTTCTACAATAAGGCTGGCAGTTTTGTTTCTGTCCAAGCAGAGTTTTCAAAATTGTGCAGGCATGTACTATAAAGAAAAATGGAGAGGGTTTTTTTTTTTTTTTTTTAATTTGGAAAAATAAAAGAGGCATTGAAGTACAGAACTGAATTAACTTGAATTTTTAATATATTTTTTATCAGACATCATTTGTTACCTGAAAATAACATTGCAGAAAGCTTCTTGACAAGTCAGGAAATTGAGAAAGTGAAGTTTGAATAGTTTTACTGGCTTCATTGCTAGGCAGTGTTTTGTGGCCTGAACCACAGGTTGTGATGCTTACTTGACAAGTGTCCAAAAGTGTTGATCTCTAGAGCTAATCTGGATGTTTTTATTAGCATTCTTAATAAAGACCAGAAACTTTTAGTAGTTACTGACAAGAATTTTTGGTAAAACAATGTAAATTTAGACAGACTTATTATAAATACATGTCTTTGAGAAAAATAATTAGGCTACATTACAAAAAATGTTATAAATCACATAGTCATGTCTTATTAAAATGGTCTCTTATTTTTTCTCATGTTTTTATTTTTGTATTTTCTGACAAATTTGGAGTAAGTTTTTATATTTGGCTCCCAATAAATGAAACTAAGTATAGTCAGAATATTTTGTATGGAATTACAAACAGAAAACATTTGGCTTTCCTTTCCTTTTGACAGATGAACACAATTTACTGGTTGGAAAAAAATCATAAGAACGGCTTTACCAATCTCAAAAAGCATTATCATTACATTAAAAATATATCACAAGCCAAATATTTTTTTATCTGAAAATGCTTAGGACCAGAAACATTTAAGATTTGTATTGTAGGATATTTGTGTGTACCACATACACACATACACATAATGAGATACCTCCAGGATGGAATCCAAGTGTAAATAGGAAATTTATTCAGGTTTCATATATGCCTTACAGACACAGCCTGAAAGTAATTTTATGCCTTATGTAATGACCTATCACATGGTTTGAGGTAGAACTTGAAACTAATAGCATCATTGGTTTTAGAGTTTGGTTTTTCAACTTAGAGTTGTTCAGTCTATGATATTTATATTCACTGTATCTTTTTTAACTTTATTATTTTAATAATTAGAGTCAGATATCTTATAGTTGTGTTGGTTTTTCTGTTGGCACAAGATAGTACTAGATGCTCTTATATTTTAAATGCTTCTCAAAATAAGAGAAGTGCTAGGGTTGTTTGTATGCTTCCAGTGTGTGTAGAGACAGTTGTATCAACCCCTGCTTGAGGTGTTAATCTTTTTAAATGGGACAGTGAGATACTATAGAAAATACATGCCTCGTTTGTTATATTACTTTTAGTTAAGAATTCCAGGGTAGTTATGTTGTTAGCAGTGTTACAGTTGTATTTGGTACATGGCTATGTGAAATTTCTGTTGGGGCATTCAGGAACACCCTCCATCCTTCAAGAAGGAATGGATTTGTTTTGATTTGATCAGTTTTTGAGATAAGGTGTCAGCATATAGCCCAGACTGGCTTCAGAGTGAAGTCCTTATACCTCAGTTTCCTGAGTGCTAGAATAATAGGCATGCATTAACTACCATGTCCTGTCAAGAAATTTTTTTTTTTTTTTTTAGAAATAAGTACAATACTTGCTTTTGTGCACTTAAAAATATATAGAAAGATTACCTAAAGTGGTTTTTATTTATTTTTGTTTTTTGGAGACAGAGTCTCTTGTACCACAAGCTCAGTTTGAATTTTCTGTGTTCCTAAGAATGACTTTAATCATCTTGCCTCTGTCTTCTGAGTGCTGGAATTACAGGCATGCACTATAATGCTGAGCTCCAATCTAAATTTTTACAAAAACTAAATCTAGACCAATATTTAGTAAGGAGGTGGTAATATAGCTTTTGGGTGAAATCAAATCTGACACTGTTGCAACCAGTGGTCTCATTCATATAGCTCTGAAGGTTTTCTTAGGATCATTTAAAACTCTAGAGTTAATGCCAGTATCCCATAAAATGTGTGCATGACCAGGAAGACTGATGATCACTAGTTAGGACGGCATTCAGGCAGGCAGATGTTAGTGTCATGGAGAAAAATTAGGCTTTTCATTCACTTTTTCTTCTTTAGCTAGCCTCTCTGCTTTAGTTAGATATTCAGCTTTTTGTTATTACCTGCCTTTGGGAGAGAGAAAAAAAGCCACTAATACCTTTCTTTTTTCTTTTTAGGTATTGCTTTCACCGACTTACCGGTAAGACATAATTTTTTGAAAGATGATTTTCATTTTTAACTAAAAAAAAAGTAGAGAAACTAGAACTAGACATGTAGAGCAGTCTCACTCATCCTAAGTGCATGTACACTGCTTCCTGTTGACAGTACAAGGAAGATTACCTGAAATACCCTTTCTGCTTGCTTGTGAATTGGTCCTGCAGCCTCCCTTATAATAAACACCCCTCTACACTGAGCTGTGCCCCCAGCCCTAAAGAACTCCTGTTACAGTGCGTTCATTTAAAGTATGTTTCTTGGTTATGTTTGAGCTCTTCATCAAAGGATTGTACAGTTACAGCTGTTCATTCTCCTAAGTTGTGTTTGAGACCTGCTGCATGAGGTCCTATGCTTTTGCTGTTATTTGGCAGCCACTAAAGATTTCTGGAGTTGGGTTGAGAGTAGTTTCTAAGGTAAGGAAATTAAAGAATAAGCACATGAAAAATAGTGAATTGTGATATTTTGAAGGAGTTTATATACTTTGGAGAGAACTAGGGCATGCTAAAGGCAAGACAGAGTTGTAGAAGTTGCCCACTTTCCTCAGACTTGGAATGGAGCCAAAACTTTTGACCAAGGAAGTCAGTGGATAGGTACAGTATGTATGTTTCTAGAGTATTTCAGACAGCAGGGAGAAAAGTGGTCAGGCAGAGTCCAATACTGGATTTGGAGGTTGAAGAGATGGTTCGTCAGTTAAGAACATGTATTGTTCTTACAGAGAACTAGAGTTCAGTTTTTTTTTTTTTTTTTTTTAAGGAAGAGGACTTGACTTTAAGGAATGAGTTGACAATGGAGACAGGATTTTTTAGTGATAAGCAGAACACTTTTCTTTGTTTGCTTATTATTTTGTGTCTAAAGTTCAAACTCCAGATTCTTGTGATGGTAGGTAAAAACTTTAGCACTGAGTTACAGCCTAGCACTCATTCATTCATTCATTCATTTATTTATTTATTTATTTATTTATTTATTTTTTTATTTATTTATTTATTTATTTAAAGACGGGACCTCTCCATGTTGCTCTGTCTGCCCCTAAACTCCCTGGTTGCTCAAGCAATCCTTCTTCCATAGCCTTCCTGGTAGACATCACATCAGGATTTGTTGGAACATTTTGAGGGGCAGGGTGAGTAATTAAGTTTGCTGTAAGAGTCAAATGTGGTCACACACACAGTTGGTTTGCAAACTGGAATTAAAGAGAATTATCTACATAAATTTGGGATCATTAGCATTTAGGCGTTAACTGCATGTGGACAACATGCAAGTGTTCTACAGAAGAGAAGTAGACCGATTTCTAAGACATGGTAATTTAGGAGAAAACAAGGAACTATCAAAGTAAAATTGAGAAGCAATCAGTGAGGTAAGGAAAGTTAATACTGAAAGCCAGGTGAAGATAGGAATCAAGGGAAGGAGTTGTATTACTTATTTTCTGTTACTAAGATGGTGATACAACTTCACTATCAGAGATATTTTATGGCAGAACTTGTTTTGGCTTGTGGTTCCACGGGACAGGAGTCTGCAGGGAAAATTGGCAGCAGGCATAATGGCAGGAGCAGGAGTCTGAGAGATCACATCTTCACAAACATGAAGCAGAAAGAACTTGGAACAGAAGAGATTATGAGCTCTCAAAGCCTGTTCCCATTGACGTACTTCATCCTAAACTTCTATAAACAGTATCAACAACTTGGGAACAAGTGTTCAAATGCCCAAGCTCATGGGGGCCCTTGCTCATTCAAACAACTACAGGAATCATCAACTGCATCAGTGCACGTGAGAGCTCACAACTGACCATTGCATTTAGTAGAGTAGAGGTCCCTGGTGACAATGACAAGGAAGTTTTAGCATAGTGGGGAAAGTCTGATAGGAATGAACTCAGTAGAGATAGGAAGAGACTATTGATGACTTTGGAGAACCTTGGTTATAATTTGGGAAGTAGGGACATAGGGCAATAATTGGTGGTGAAAGGTGTGTGAGTAGAAAAAAAAAAAAACCAGTAAGTTAGATTTAGCAGAATATTGTTTTACTGTTAATGATTTGCTAGAAAACAATCAAGTTGATACACTGTAAGGAGGAAAACTACTATAGTGATCATATGCTTCCTAAGCAAGTATGTAAGTGAAGGGAATTCGCTTTTGAATAGAACATTTTTGGTGGTGACCTGCAGGGTGGCAAAGTATGCAGTTGTAAATAAGTTCTTTTGTATGGGAGAGCATCACATGTATTGGGGGTGGTATTAACACATGTACTGAAGCCAGAGGAGAAAAACATTAGGCGTCTTCCTCTAGTGCTCTTACTGAACCTGAATCTTGCTGGTTTCCAGCCAGTGAGCTTCTGCAGTCCACCTGCTTCTGTCCCCAACACTGAGGTTATAGGCACACACAACCATGCCCAGCTTTTACATGTGTGCTGGGGACTTGAACTCAGTTTCTCCTGCCTTCACAGCAAGCTCTCTTACCCACTAAGCTATCTGCTAGACCCTGCAGGTAAATTCTAGTAGGTAAAATTATGGCATCCTTAACCATTGCAGAATCTTCCATAAAAAGACTCCCAAGATTCATTTGTAACTGTTAGAAGGTTTTATTGCTGGGGTTTTGCTTATTGATGCTTAAGCATTTTAAAGCACATCACTGGGTGGACTGTGCTGCAGTGTTTCTCTTTGTCTCTTCATTGGCCAGTGCGGTAAAGCTCATTCATCAAAGGCATACTTGATTTTAGATACTACATGTTTTCTGTCAGCTTCTAGTGGTTTTCAGTCCCACTCTGATGTTGTGTGGTACCCTTCCATTTACAGTGAAACAATGGCAACTTTCTTGTTACTGAGCAAGGTAGCTATGATGGTAGTTCTTACAAGTTTCCTTTGATAGTATTTTGGGGTCTAAAGTCTTGTGGGACTTCTGCATGCTGACTTCTCTTCTGCAAGAAAAAAAAGGAAAAGCTAGTCTTTCCCTTAAAGGGATTATGTAGAAAATATATGCTCCTTATCTGTGGTTTGAATTAATTGGAGCATGGACTTCGGGAGGAGTATATTTGCAAAAACCTTAATTTTCCTTGACTATATGCTCTGACAGCATTACATCTTTTTCTTTGTTTGAGACAATGTCTTACTCTGTAGTCCCAGCTGTTCTGGAACCTATGGTGATATTTTCCCAGCCTCTTGGAGTGTTTCTCTTAGACCTTAGGTTTTGTTTTGTGTTTGTTTTGGTTTTTCAGTTTTTTTGAGACAGGGTTTCTTTGTGTAGCCTTGGCTATCCTGTAGTTCACTCTGTAGACCAGGCTGGCCTTGAACTTACAGAAATCAGCCTGCCTCTGCCTCCGAACTGCTGGCACTACAGGCATGTGTCGCCCAGAGATCTTACATTTTTTAAAAAATTATTTTTATTTTTATTAATTACAGTTTATTCACTTTGTACCCCTCCTCCCTTCCCAACCCCTCCTTCCACCTTTCCCACCTGTGTCCCTCTCCCAGTCCACTGATAGGGGTGGTCCTCCTCCCCTTCCCTCTGATCCTAGTCTATCAGGTCTCATCAGGAGTGACTGCACTGTCTCTTCTGTGGTCTGCTAAGGCTGCTCCTCCCTCAGGGGGAGGTGATCAAAGAGCAGGCCAATCAGTCATGTCAGAGACAGTCAACCTTACATTTTTTAAAAAGAACTCCCCCCCCCCCTTCACATCTGTTTGAGAAATGTCTTTACACAAACTAATTGAGTTAAAATTTGGTGCATATTCCTTTTGTTGTTCTTACGTGCTCTCATTTAATATTTATTTTTAATTTTATTAGTAGTAATATTTTGCTTGCATGTATATATGCACAACACATGGCTGTTTGGTACCTACAGAGACTGCAAGGGCATAGGATCCCTGGAACTGGAGTTACGGTCAGTTGTGAACTGCTATGTCAGTGCTGGGAGCTGAACCTGGGTCCTCTGCAAGAGCAACAAGTGCTTTTAACTGCAGAGCCATTACTCTAGTCCCCTGATCATTTAAAACAATGCTGCTTCCAAGGCTACAAGCTGACTTGAAATCTAGTTGCCACAGATAAATTATTTACTTTTGGTTTTTGTTTGTTGTTTTCATTGTTGCTGTTATTTTGAAGAAATATTTATAGTAGAATACAACTTAAATTATTAAATATGAATTTAAATATGTATATTAGTAGTATGTTTTCTATTCTGAAAGAGACTTAAAATTATTGTCTCTAAATAGACAAGGAGGATAATTTTTTTGAGTTTTTTTGTTTTGTTTTTTGTTTTAAGACAGGCTTTATGTAGCCCTGCTTTCTTGGAACTCACTCTGTAGCCAGACTGGCCTGGAACTCAAGAGATCCATCTGCCTCTGTCTCCCAACTACTGGGATTAAAGTTGTGTTTTATCTCTGCCTGTCAGGGATGATAATTTTTTGAAAAAGAAATTTTCCATCTATCTGTATTCTAATTGCATATAACTGCATGGTAAACCAAGCCTCCGTTAAGCTTGTAGATTTTGTTCTGAAATTACAGAATTGTCTTACCTTCTTGTTCATGCCTTCATTGTCTTTGGTTTCTTACATGTTTTTGTTTTAAAAGTATTTAATAATTCTGTGATGGGTTTTACTGAAAAGTTTGCCATTCTAGAAGTAAAGAGACAGCCCCCCCCCCCTCCTTTTTCATGATGTTGTTAACAAGCTGTGTGCTTTTGGATTGAGTCTCAGGTCTCAAGTTTTTTAACTGGTGAAATGAAGAAGACTATATTGAAAGTCTGACCTGCTTTGCATTTAAATTTTTTAATATGTTAGTTCTGCTGCTTATTAAGGGTTTAAAGTAGATATGATGGATCACACCTGTAATCTTAGAGCTTGGAAGGTTGAGAGAAGAATTCTAATGAATTCAAGGCCACCCTGAAACTTGTTGTAATAAAGTATAACATACATAACCATAATCTCCCCCAAAAGAAGCACTGCTTTGTCTTATCATAATAATCTAATAAAGACTTTTTATTTTGATGTGCTATTTTACGATTTGTGTTGCTTTTTTGAACAGTTATTTTTTAAATATACCCTCAATTTGCTTTAAATTTCTTCACACACATTGTCCCTTTTTAATCTTTACCATGTTTTATAGTGAAAATACTTGTGGTAACTACAAATAAAGGCAAAGAAACAAGGCACAAATCTAAAGTGTGGGAGGATTTGGTGTCACGGGAATAAAGATGTAACTTGTTCTAGTATTGGTAGCCTGTCTATCTTTGCGCGTTGGTAATAGAGCTACCCTGTCTAACTTCTGGTTCTCAGGCAGTAAGAACCTCTCAGGTGATTCTAAGGAGTGGACCTGGCATTTAGTGAACATTTAGTATGTGATCTCTTTTTTGATGCAGCAGTTGATTACTAACAGGAAAAAAAAACTGTATTTGAAGCTACTTCTTTTACATTTGGATTTTTTCTACTTTAATATCTTAGGATATATTTGAATGTATTTCATTATGTATATTTAGTTTTGTCTCTTCCTTTGAGATCATACATTTGAGGTTTTATTTTTTTGCATTAAGAATCCCCACAGTGTGCTCACTTTGGCAGCACACACACTAAAATTGGAACAATGTGGAGATTATTAGCATGGCCCTTGTGCAAGAATGGCCCACAAATTTATGAGGTGTTCCGTAGTTTTAGAAACAAAGAAAGAAAATCTCTACAGTGACAGTATCTTGCTTAAAGCAAGTTTTTACCACTGTCTCTATAAAGGCAGCCCTTCCAAGTATGCTGGTAATGACTGTAATAAATTGTAGATGGTGCTTTCTATGAACTAACTGTAATGTGTGTTTTTTAATAATGTGTAGCTCATATAAAGACTGAGATAAACCTGAGCCATATGTTAATTTTAAAGCGTTTTAACTGTTACATGACATTAAAAGCACGAGTTAGATTTTCATGTGGCAGGGTCCCAGAATCATTTTTGTGGGTATCTTAGCTGTTTACATTGTTTTGATGATTAGAGTGAAGAAAATAACATTTTTTTCACCCAACACATAATGTATTTTGTTTTAGTTATCCTCTACTAATATTTTAATTGAGATTTTAAAATATTCATGTAGTAAATTTATGGTTCTATTTTTACATTGCAAAGATAATGAAGTTTTTAGTGTACAATCAATAGATATTTAAAGAAATATGTTGTCTTACAGCCAAATTTGTATCCTACTGTGGGGCTTCAGACACCAGGAGAAGTGGTTGATGCCAACTTTGGGCAACATCCTTTTGTGTTTGATATAGAAGACTACATGCGAGAATGGAGAACCAAAATACAGGCCCAGATAGACCGGTTTCCTATTGGGGATCGAGAAGGAGAGTGGCAGACCATGATACAAAAGTAAGAGCAAGGAATGTTGAATGTACAGATTTAAATACGGAGTGTTTATACAGCAAACTATTCTTTTTGCATTCAAAGATGTATATCCAGGAGTCTAGTTTAAATCCTAATTGTTTGTATGTACTATTGATTATATTTTTATCTCAAAAAGTAATTCACCAGTTGGAATAAAGTAGTGTTGATTTAAACACACACAGAATGCATTTGTCTGATTTAACTGAATGGAGGAAATAAGTGATATGTGATCATAAAAGTAGTTTAACTTGTTTGTGTTCCTTAATATGACTCAGTGAAGGCTCTAGGTTATACAGTCAAACTTGTAATAATGTTAACAAAAAAGATAAGTTTAGAGGGGGTGACCTAGATCTTATATTTTAGGTTCTGTGATTTAGGAACATGAACTTCAGTATCTTCCTCAGCCATAGTTCAAACATACAGGGAGGAAAAAACAAAACAAAAAACAGTAGTCTGGTGCTTTCTCCATATGGAGAAGTAAGAGAGTGCAGCTACAACGTGCATACACCATCTCCCAGGGCTGTGGTGTCGTTGCTCTGTCTGGAAGGGTGTTAGCAGGATGGCTCTCATGACTGGAGTGGGCCTCTTCTTTATTTAATACTTAGCATTTTGTTTCAGAAAGACTGTAATTGTTCCTATCCAAGAATCTACCCATAGGCTTCTACACAAAAGACTTCAAAAATTAAATTTAAAAAACTTGGACAAGAAAGATAGTGTCACCAAGATGGCAGAAAAGTGGCTTTTCACCCGAGTTCTATTCCTGTGACCCACATACTGGAAGGAGAGAACCAGCTCCTACAAAGTTTTCCTTCGAACTCAACTTTGTGCCACTGTCTGTGTTTGTGTACACGCATACTCACACTAAGATAGATAGATAGACAGACAGACAGACAGACAGACAGACAGATAGATGTAATTTAGAAATAAAAAAGCCTTAGTAACTACTTTTACTAATATTTCTTATATAAGTTACCATTAGATACTTAGGGATAAGAGCAGGGGAATGAAGACTGAGGAGCAATGGCTGTGGAGTTAGCCCAAGTGCAAGCATAAATACTTTGAATTCATTATTAATAATGGAGGATGGCCAGCAGTGCTAAATCTGTTATTAGTAAGATCTTTTCAGTGGCTTTCTACGTTTTATTTTATAGAATTTCATAAGAATATCGGGAACTTTGAATTCTTGTGACAGTCAACTTCTTTAGACTATATATCTGTCAAAAGTCTAAAAGACAGTGCCTGGATATCACTAGTATTAAATGAAAGTTGTTAAAGATTGACGTAAATAGTATGTATGCAAAAATTATGTACTGTTAAGTTAAAAATCATTCTGATTGTATAATCTAGGCCAAGAACATAGCTACTTCAAATATATCATCAGTGTGCCATGCTCATAGTTGCTTAAAGGTTCTTCAGTTTAAATTTTTATTTTTTCAGTTTAAATTTTTAAGAAAACCTTTTTGGGTATTGTGTAATGGTTGGAGATAAAAGAGTTTTGATTAATATTGTTGGATTACCTGTTTTGCTAACTATATCTTAACCACTTAGTGGCTTTTAAAAGCAAGCTTGTTTTCTTGGATTTATCACTGTAAGTCTTGCACAATTTATTTCCTGTTTAAAACCATCAAATTGATTGCATTCTTTAATTGCTCCCTTGTGGATTTTGTTCTGGCCAGTTCTCTCTGGGCTCACATCATTGGTTCTCTTCATACTTTGAGATCTCATCTCATTTGACTGGTGAGCACAGAAAATAGTTGGAACTCCAGTATTAATCAGTTATCTCAAAATAACTGTTTTACACAGGGCTAACATGTTATTGGGATATCTGTAATTAAGGTGAGATCAAAATTATGGTTCGTAGGATTGGATAATAGGAAAATTAATAAAGAACCAGGGGGTAATAGGGATCCAAGAATTAAAACTTTTTTAAAATTTTAATGCCTTTCATCTTATTTTTGGATGGCCTTTTGGACTATTCATAACTAGAACAAAATGTTACTTTCAACATATTTTATAGTTGAAGGTCACAGAGCCTGGCTTCAAGGAAATAGATTGATTTTGTAATCCCAGATTAGACTTGTTAAAAGATTGTAGTCTGAAGCATGTATTCTCCTGACTAAAAGATGTGTTTTCTTCTCTTTGTTTAAGAATGGTTTCATCTTATTTAGTCCACCACGGTTACTGTGCCACAGCAGAGGCCTTTGCCAGATCTACAGACCAGACTGTTCTAGAAGAATTAGCTTCCATTAAGAATAGACAAAGTAAGAACACTGTGGTACATGGCAAATACTTGTTTTTAAATAAGAAGTTTGGTTGTTTTAACTTTCAGAAAACCTTTTTTTTCCATTAAAATTTTGCCCAATATATCGTTTTAAAGTGGATGCCTCCAAACTCATTTTCATTGACTTTTTGAGTTGTTTGTTTTTGTGAGTGTTTTGGTTTATGTCAAGGGTTGGGAGGTCTCGTGTCTGAGGCAGGGTCTCATGTAGCTCAGGCTGACATTGAGCCTCATGCTGCACTCTTGACAGTTTGAAAATCTGTTTTAAAAATTCACACCAGAGTTTTAATATAGAAATAAAATTGTAGACCTTTAAAAAGAAATGCCTTTATTACATTTCCATTGAAAAGCTGCTTTCCTGTGGGTTGGGATTAAGGTGATTGATGAGCCTGACACACTCTGGGTTTGGTGTCAGCACCTGGTGGGTGGAGGATGGGCCAGGAAAACCTTAAGCTTTAAGAAATAAGAAGCGCTCGATTCAAAGCAAGTTTATTTTGTTGTTTGGTACCATTCTAGATGAGACAGTGGAGATAGTATATGAATTTTTTTTTCTTTGAAAGAAAGAAATTTAAATATATTCTAGTTTTCTGCCTAAAATGAAGGTGGTTGAAGGTGGTGTATTGGTCATAAGTATTTATTGCTTAGGACTTTGTGCTGGACATTGCTGGTACTATTTTCATCAGGGCAAGGTAGCCTGACAAAAAGTTAGACATCCTAAAGTCAGTGCTGTTAGCCTGTCAGAGTAGATCCCACCTTATGGGCATTTCCTGAGTGGAAATATTAAGCAGAGTAAACACGCAAAACCATGATGGCTCAGAGAATCTTCTTATAGGTAAGATGGCTAAAGTAATGCCAATTGCAGCATGCCTGTAGCATACGGTATGCTGGTCTTTCTCACTGCCTTAATACGCCATCGCGCAGAGGAAGTCACTTACTCAAGGGTAGATTTTAAGAAGGCTCTGACCTTTTCAAAGGCTGGTGTTCTAGTCCCACGTCAGAAGATCCGATAGACATTTTAAGTGTTATTTCCTTAAAACAATCTTTTAAGCCTTACTGTTCAGAAATACACTGTTAATGGATGTTTTCCCTATAATACTTACATATTTATTCATGGTATTTTAAAGTAGTCTCTGAAAATACTTGTGTTTTCTAATTCTTAATGTATCTCTCATTTTTTTCCCTTGGATTTTCTAATCTAAACTTAAAAATTTGGAAAAAGTTTAATTATTTTAGAGGTTTTCACTGTTACTTTCTGGGGTGATTTAAGGTTGTCTCTGCTTTTGTAGCGCTGATATTTTTGCTTTCTTTTCTTAATAGGAATTCAGAAGTTGGTGTTAGCAGGACGAATGGGAGAAGCCATTGAAACAACACAACAGTTATACCCAAGTTTACTAGAAAGAAATCCTAATCTCCTTTTCACATTAAAGTGAGTTTTAGTAAAATATTATTTTAAGTAATTAAAATTATCTTCATTATTTGTAGTTTTGATTTGTTTACCTTGCTTCAGATATTTATATATAATATTATAATACAGCACATTTAAGTGATATTTTTAATAGCACTTGGAGCTGAGGATATGTACCTCAGTGGCAGAGCAGATGCTTAGCATGTGTGAACAAAAGCAGAAGAGGCTTCATGTTAAGGTCTCTAAGCACATGATACTTTTGCTTGCTTTTATCGTTTCATCTCTTCTAAACTGTGAATGTCATACTTAGAAGGCAGTAATCTCAATTTTCTCCTAAAATGTACTTTGAGTAACTCTTCTGGATCTATTGAAGAGTTATAGTAAGATATACATAAAACATACTGTTTTACCCATTCTTACGTATATTCTTAACACACTTAGGTACACTTAAGTCTTTGTGCATCATTGGAGCTTTTTTATCTTCTTAGTCTGCTCACTATACACTAGCTTCTCCTTTGCTCACTTGTCCAGAACCCTCATACTATGTGTCACTTAGTGTAATATCTTTAACGTTGACCTATAATGTAGTACATGCCAGAGTTCCCTGTAATTTTGAAGGCTGAAGATGATCCCATCATGTGGATGCACTGCCTGTCGTTTGTTCTTCTCTGTTAGTGGGTGCTGGGCTTTGGTCTGTCTCTCTGCTACCGTGAATAGTTCTGCTGTGAACGAAGCTTCATGAGTGTCTGCTTAAGTCCTGACTTTCAGTTCTTGCATGATTCACCTAAAATGGAGTTGTTGGCTTACTGCTCTGGTTAACATTGTGAGGACCCCTGCATTCTCCTTTGTGCATCCTTAGATTTACTTCTAGCACAGCAGAAGGTTTCCAGTCTTTCGATATCATCGCCAACACTTATTTTCTGCTTTAGGTTATATACATCCTGCTTAGGCATTTAAAAAACTGAATCTTTGTTGTTTTTTTTTTTTTTTTTTTTTTTTTAAAAAAGAATGCCTTTAATCCAGCACTCATAAAACAGACTGGATCTCTGAGACCTCAAGGCCAACCTGGTCTGCACATAACAAATTTGAGGCCATCCAGGGTTGAAGAGTGAGATACATATCAAAAAAAAAACAAAAACAAAAAAAAAAAAACAAAGAGAGTTGGATGTTACTGAGCTTAGGAGCTCAATCTTCTCAGGCTGAGAAAGTCTTTGTAAGTCAAATGTCAGTTATTTTACCTTACAGCAAAAGCCAACTGAGGCCTATTTTGGCTAAGAGCTTGGTAATTCAGCCTGGGATGGATGGGCTGGGATAAGGCTGTGCTTTGTACCTCTCAGGGTACATGTGTGTCTAAAATCTCACATACTTGATATGATACCAAGTAAAATACAGATTTTAATTTTAAAATGAGGCTTATTTTAATTTAATATAGCTATATATAGATTTGATGTTTGTGCCTAAGTAAACTTCTTTTTTCTTTCAGAGTACGTCAGTTTATAGAAATGGTGAATGGTACAGATAGTGAAGTACGATGTTTGGGAGGCCGAAGTCCAAAATCTCAAGATAGTTACCCTGTCAGTCCTCGGCCTTTTAGTAGTCCAAGCATGAGTCCCAGCCACGGAATGAGTATCCACAATTTAGCAACAGGCAAAAGCAGTACTGCACATTTTTCTGGTGAGATGCAATTTTTTAAACTTTTACTCTTCTTTATATAATTTTGAGGGTTTTTTTTTAATTTAAATCTAGACATTTTTATATTTTTTAAATTGTGTATATACAGTCTATAAAAATACAGATTCATCTGATACTAGTACCAAGAAGTATCATAAGAAACTGAGACTATAAATAGAGCTTCATCAATCAGTGTTATTATTCAAAATGAATTGTCACTAAAACCATTGACAAAAAGGAGAAAATAATCATGTATTTAATAAAGTATATAATCTGGCTATCCTGTCCTATCAAGTCTTGCTAGACTTCCCCTCTCTCTTGATTCATTTCTAAGCATCTTTTCCTTTTTCTCTTTCTTTTTCTTCTTTCTTTCCTGTTCCCTTTTCAGCTTACTTAATGCTCACACTCTGACTCTTGGTGTTCTCTTAATTAAAGTTCTCTTTGCTGGCTTTCTTGCTATCACTTCTACAAATTTTTATCTAATCCTCATTTTTTTTTAATTTCATCCCTTTGATTCTGTTTCCCACATGTACTCTTTGTTGTACATTTTATCTTTGTTGTTTAATTCTTTTTAACATTTTATCTTTGTTGTTTAATTCTTCACTATTTTTGTATCAGTAGATTAAATAAATAGTATTTACCCAGGTACTGACTTAGAGATGTTAAGATGCACCAACAAGTCTCCCAAATACTGACATCTCTAAGTGCAATTATAATCCTTATTATAAGTACCATAATAATTTAATGCAATCTAGATATACATACAGCCTGAATATCCTGAACTACACGAGTGGTTTGTATTGTCACATGATTTCATTTAAGTATACATTTTCACAGCAAAAGAACTTAACATTATGTCAATAAAACACTACTCCAAATACTTGTCATTCTTGCTACTGAAAATAGTTTTTAGAAGCTTTAGTGACATTGAGGAAGATGAGGTCCGCTAAAACTTAACAAAAGGTTTTAAGTCAAAAAGTGCAAAAAGGTTTTAAATCAAAAAGCTTTCAACACAGAAGTACTAACATAAAACTTTTAGATCCATTTAAAAAAAATAAAACACTTGTCTTTGAAAAGATTATTAAAACAAAGGGTTTTAATTTATTAAGGGTTTTAATTATTAAGAGAGACAGAGAGATAAATGTTCTTATTAAAACTTGGTTCCTTAAACAAACTAGTCACTATATTTAATAACCCCTCAGGCCATTATTATCTAAAACCTTCAGATACATAGAGTACAGGTCTCAACTGTGATAAAGTCAAAGGGCATTTAGATTTCACATATTATGAACCTATAGTATAGCTTCCAATGCACAAATCTACCTAAAGCATAAACCCTACTTTACCCTTTACATATGGAACTGCATGGTTTGTAGTACTTTAACCTGGGTTTAGTCATTAAACCCCAGGAAGCAATTCAGATATAGCCAGATGAGGCAGGCTGTTAAAAGCTTAGGTTAGGAATCTAAAACTGAAGACCTCTTTCATTCCATGCCTATCAGGACATTTCTGTAGAAAACATAGTTATAATATATGGTTTCCACAGAAAATAACCATAATTCAGAAATTATTACTGGTGTTAAGAACCATACTTGACTTGGCCAAAAGCTTTTCTATCCCATTTGAATTGAATTCTTTGTTCATATGAAGTCCTCAGCTCTAGCAAACTTCCTTGGGTCCTTTTAAGTTAAGACAGTACCTTCAAGCTTGCATTTGACATTGTCTTGTGGGTCATTTTCAGTGATGAACTCTGAAGCTCTCCAGTAAAATCCACTGGTTCAGTGTGTGAGGATTCTGGTCATTCCCAAAGCTATACACATAAACCGTGCTTCTTTAGAGGGGGTGGGGTGGGGGAGTCAGTCTTTTTCCCTGTCTACTTTCTGCTCTTCCAGTTTATTTTTCTTCTCATCTGCCATCCCACCAGCTTGTCAGCTTGCCAAGCCTGTATTTAACTTTATAAAGCAGATCAGATAGTTTTACTCCCCATCAGGTGCCATTTCTATTTTTTCCTACAGTCAGTTGCACTGCTTTACCTTCAGGCTTTTTGATGCACTGTCCCATATGATGGGCACAAGACTTGCATGTCTATATCCTCCGTGGCAAGATGATACTGTTTTTGATTATTATATAGTTAATGTATTCATAGGTAAAAGGGGATGATTAATGACATTTCTGTCAGTGACAAACTGTACAAAGTGACCCCATGTGGTCTTGATAGAACAGAAAAACATCACAAAATCACATAGTACTTTTATTGTAATCTTTTCTGTGTCAAAGTATATAAATACGTACCACTTACTTTAGAAAAAAAATATATTTTCATTTTAATGTATGAGTGTTTTGGCCACATGTATGTATATTTGTGTACCACATGTATGTATTTCCAGGAGAGGCTAGAGAGGGTGTTGAATCCCCTGGAGCTGGAGTTACAGATGGCTGTGAGGCACCATGTGGGTGCTGGGAATTGAGCCCAGGTCCTCTGTAAGAGCAGCTAGAGCTCTTAACTGCTGAGCCATCTCTACAGCCCCATATTACGATTTCTTATAGCTGTAGTATAGTAATGTCCTGCTCAGGTTTATAGCCTGGGAGGCACAGGCTATCCCACATTGCCTAGATAGGCTCGAGCCTCAAGGCACATCTAAGAATACTCAGTGGTGTTAGCAACACAATGAAATCATTAACCCAGTTCTTACAATTTGTCCTTGTTTTAAAGACTATTAGTGCCCTCACAGAGTGATTATGAGGATTAAATGAGATCTGTAATTAAACTCAGAGGAAGTAATAGTTTACAATGAAGTGTTAATATGTTATCAAACTTAAAAAAAATACAAAAATTATTTAAATACTCTCTAGGGATTCCTATATTCTAAAATTGTTAAATATAAAATCAAAATATAAAAGTATTATTTACAAGCTAACCAAATTGCTGTTTCTGTGTTTTGTTTTTTCTTGCTTTCTTCTCAGGTTTTGAAAGTTGTAGCAATGGTGTAATATCAAATAAAGCACATCAATCATATTGCCACAGTAAACACCAGTTACCCAGTTTGAATGTACCAGAACTAAACAGTATCAATATGTCAAGGTCACAGCAAGTTAATAACTTCACCAGGTAATAAAGTACTTTCCCTAACTTTTATATTACTAGAAACAACAAGGGCATAGATGCTGTCTCTTCACTGATAATGTCTGAAGAACTTCTGGGGTCCACACTGGGGCCTGCACCTCTGAGCTCCCAGAAAGTAAAAGGGTAGGGACTCTATTTACTCTAAGTATTTAACTTCCTCCTGTGCAGAGTCTTCTTAGTTGTTCTTCTCTGTGCTGTGTTCTTCCCGCTGGGGAGGTTATAAGGGCAGATAGATGTTGGGCTGTGTTTATTGTCTTTATACCAAGGGCAGCACAGTACAGGTGCCTACAAGAATCTTTGACATTAGCATGACAAAAATATTGAGGAACTTCTAGGTACCAAACTTGCTGCTGGCTATATTGTTTGACTTCTAAGATTAAAGAGAAAACACACATACAAACACGCGCACACAAACATATATTTCTATCTTGCCAGGTGGTGGTTGTGCCACACACCTTGGAAGGCAGAGATAGGCAGGCAGATCTCTAAAGAGTTAAGCCAGTCTGGTCTACAGAGTGAGTTCCAGGCCAGCCAGGGCTAAAATAAAAAAAAAAACAGAAGACATATCGTAATGAACATACCATGGGCCTTGATATACTCCTATTTAACATTAGTGCATTCTTAAAATCCATGCAGTGTAATCACTTTAAGTATCCAAGAGCAAATTAATGTGCATTCAGCCTGTCCAGTGATGTAGCATCTGAACCGGGTTCATACTGATTTGATTTCAAGCAGTGTTCTTAATTTCTTATTGAAGAGGAACCAACTGTTAGCATGGAATTTCATAGCAAAGACTAATTTTTAAACTTTTTAAACCAGTAAGAATTATTTGTACTTGGGTAATGACTTTTCTGTAGCAGTATTATGTAGTCAATAAAGATTACATTAACTGTTTAAACCATTTTACAGATGTAGAGCTGAACATCAGAAAGAAACTGCTGTTTTTTAAGGTCACTAATTAGGTAGTAAGTTGCAGAGCTGAAAGTTGTTACCAGGATTTCTGACTTAGGAACTTGTGCTTTCCCCTCCCACTGTCTGAAATGCTCTTCCCACTCACTCCTGTTCTGGCCTTAAGACCCAAGTCCAGGTGTTAACTTCATTTTTCTTGCTTTGTACCTTCACACCACATGCTGTACCTCTCCTTATGATTAACATTCTTCATAGCCATGATGGAGGCCACTCTGGGATACATGAGCTAGCTGAACACAGGCCATTTTCTCTTGGAGAGCGGTATAATATCTTTAGTGTTCAAAATGGAACAGACCTCGGGGGTCTTTTAAATATGTGTGAGCGGATGTGCAGATAAACGAATCCCTCTCAAATACTAAATCATATTGCCCGAAATGTTAAAAAGCTTAAATAATTTAAAACTAAGACAGTGAAGATTTTGAAGTATAAACTTTGTTTTCCTATTTATAATTTTTTTTTTTTTTTTTTTTTCCTTAAACAGACTCTTTCTTATTGAATCAGTCTGTTTTGTAGTCCTGAATCCTTTGCCTCATCTTCCCAGGTCTGTCTGTACTAGACTTGAGCACAGGAAGGCAGAGGTAGTGTGCACAGACACACCTCTGTTCACATCCCGCAGCTGTTGACTAGTGGGTTATCTCTGCTAAGGTTTGGGTTTTTGTTTTGTTTTGTTTTCAAATGAATAATTTTACCTTTGTGATGAAAAATGTCCTTTTTGCACATTTCTTCAATTTTCACCAGTTATCTTTCTTGGTTAAATGTTGTTTAACTTTTCACAGGAGACATCTTAAGACTAAAGTATTGTCTCTTTAAGTCTGGGTAGATTTGAAAGGGCATGTATGACAGCTTCACTATGACCATATGTAGTTGTTAGCATAAAGGTTTTGGTACACTGCAGGATGAACAAGCATGGGAACTTGTCAAGAAAATGTTGGCTACTGTTAAAAAATATGGTTGCTTGAGCTGGGTGTGGTGGTGCATACCTGTGATTTCAAGTACTTGTAAAGTGGACATGGGAAGATTGTAAGTTTAAGACCTGGGCAATATAGAGCCCATTAAAATAAGAATCAAAGTAAAGATGTGATAGTCCTTTAGAGTCACTGGCCAACTAGATAGCCTGGAGAGTAGTAGTGCTGTTTAGGTCTGAGAAGCAGATGAGACACAGTAGTTTGGATTTGTTTGTTTGTTGTTGTTACTGTTAGTTACTTTTGAAACAGCATATTCTTAAATAGTAAGGACAGGTACCAAAAGCAAAGTTTCAGTAATGATGTAGATATGCAAAAGTCTAGAAACTTTTAAAAAGTCTAGAAGTAGACTGAATAATAGGGCAGGGAAACAGTGCACTGGATTCTTTGAATCAGGTTTATCAGTTTGGAGAGTAAAGTTTCTCCATAAAATGCTGGAAGTGACTCTTGTGGCCAGTGGAGAGGAGTGTCTCAGGAAGATGTAGGCATAACAGGGAAGAACAGACCTGAGTTTGAAAAATAAGTATTATGCCAAAGCCTGATACTTCCATACTGATGCAAAGTCACAAAAATCACTGCATTCTTGCATGTGTGCCTCTGCTCCTTTATCTCCAAAGTGCAGATTTGTTAAAGACCAGTTGTATGTGTGTGTTTGATACATTTGAGATTTAACCTCATTTACCTCTTTGCAGATTGCTGTTGTCTTATGAAAAATTAGTGTCTTATAGGCTACAAAGTTGTGTAGTAACTTATCTTAAACTAATTTCTAAAATTAGGTTTGTTTTTTCATTTTCAGTAATGATGTAGACATGGAAACAGATCACTACTCCAATGGAGTTGGAGAAACTTCATCCAATGGTTTCCTAAATGGTAGCTCTAAACATGACCACGAAATGGAAGATTGTGACACCGAAATGGGTCTGCAGTGATATTTCTTACATTTTAAATAAAAAATGGTGGCTACAAGGTTGTTTTTACTTGGACTGATTCACAGCTAAGAATAAGGCAGATTTCAAGATGAAGCATCTCATTTAACACTTGTGAGCATGGGTTGCTGGAGAGAGCAGGCACCTTTGGGCTCTTAAGGGGAGGTGCCAGTCTTCCTGGCTCAGCTGGCATGTGTATTGCACTGCCTTGGGGATGAAGGTTGGCTATAGAAAACATTTTTACATTTATTTCAGTGTAGTCAGTAGACCAAATGAGTAGAAATCACGTTGTAAAGTTGATTAAATGCAGTCATGACATGTATAGTGCTGTTCCTAGGTGTGATTTCTCCCGCTTTGAAACACCACCCTAATGATGCGTGTGATCCTTGCTTTCCGCATCAAACAATGAGAATCATTGAAGTTTATAAATTATTCATTGGAATTCACTGCAGTATTGTATTTCTTTGTATTTTGACACCGAAAGGTAATCACTGGAGTTGTTTAAGGGACAGCCTGGTTTTCCCTGTTGATCCTCTGTATCTAGAGACACCTGGGAAGGGGCAAGAGTTCTAGAGCCAGATTTACCTGGATTTGAAAGCTGCAACTGCCACTTACTAGCTGCTTGACCTCAGACAGGATACTTAACTGCCCTGTGCCTCAGTTTTTTCATCTGTAAAATGGGTAAAATCTACTCAGTCATTGTGAAGAGCAAATTAAGTTTATCTCTGAAAAACTGTATCAAGTACTTTGTTAATATTTGTTATTTTTATCATCATGAATGCTGTTACTAGTAGTGAATTATATGGGTACAGTGTTGACAGTCACTAAGGATTAGTCAACATATATATAGTTTACAGTGCTTCTAAGGGTAATATTTCCCTTAATAGTATAAGTGTAATTAGTCTTTTTCATTAGTAAGATAAAATATCATCTATGTTTCTGTTGGGGTTTTGGCTTCCAAGAACATTTTATTCTGTCTTGTTTTTTTCCCCTGCCTCCCATCTTGTTTCATATAGTTTTAGGGAGTTCCACTTAACTTTGTATGCAAACACTGAAAGGTTCTTGCCTCTTGTCTGCACACTGAATGTTGGATCCCAAACTCTTGAGACTATAAATAGAGTATAGCTTTGTGTTGCAAAGCTCCATATAAGAAATTTTGAATCTGTGTTTCGAGCCAGGCATAGTGCTATATGCCTGTAACTCTAGCGCTTGGGAGGCCAAGGCCAGCTTGACAAGACCTTGTCTCAAGAATGTACATGTATATCTATGTTTAGATGAACTACTAAAAAGTAGTTCTACTACTAAAGAATACACAAATATTAAGTAAAAAAAAACCCTTGCATTCTCACTTTTTCCCCCCACTGTTTTCCATTCTATAAGTAGTGAAATAGTTGTTTGTTTGCTTACAGAAGTTGACTCCAGTCAGTTAAGACGTCAACTGTGTGGAGGAAGTCAGGCTGCCATAGAAAGAATGATTCACTTTGGCCGAGAGCTACAAGCCATGAGTGAGCAGCTGAGGAGAGAATGTGGCAAGAACACAGCAAACAAGAAAATGCTGAAGGTAAGAATGTTGCTTGCCTTCTGAGATAAAATATCTGGGAGGTTGGGGGCTGTGTGTGTCTCATTTTAGCTCACCATTTTAGAGTTTTCAGTCTGTTTCCACTTCCCTCCATTGTTCCAGGACCTGTGGTGAGAGAAAGAACCTCAATGCAGGGAACTTGGAGCATGGCTCACAGGGAAGGGTGGGGCTAGGGACAGCCATACTCTTTGCAGTGACCTGTTTCTTTCAGATAGGCTTCACCTTCTCCAGTTTTCACTTCTAATAGCTCATTGATAAGGTTAGAGCTTTCATGATCCAGTCATGCTCCAGTGACCTCAGTTTTACACAGGGACCTACTCTTACACACATGATCCTTGGGGGGAATATTTCACATTTCAAACTACATATATTTTCCCTCGAGACTTACAAATGTGTCAGAGGCATCAAGATACAGTTTTGTTAAACACTGAGCAACAAGGCAGAAATTCTTAGGAACTTGTACCTAGAATTTCCCCTCAGCACCTTGCCCGTTTCTGATTCAAAACTCTTGATGGCATTAGGCAGCTCTGATCTAGGAGAACATTGGGTCACACATGTACAGTCTTAAGTGCCATATGTGCTGCAGAGTGGCACTGTGCTCCCAACGACAGAGCATGCAATTGTAGTGTGCTGCTGAAACCAGAAACTTGAGATGTATTTTTAGTAAATGCTGTTTCAGGCTTGCAGCAAGGTCAGTGGATTTTATAGGAATTAATAAAGGATTAGCTTGTCTTTCATGTCTAGAATGGTTAGAATACATTTTGAAGAATCTTCTGGACTATGTCCACGCTGGATGATAAGGATAAAATTTCACCAATAAGTCAACCACAGTCTTGTGTATTAGTTGAAGTTGGAGTGCTTATGTTAAGCAAGACTGCATTTCACTGTATGATTTTTGAGTCTTTAAGAGACCTAGAGACTGTTCTACATACACCTCAGTGAATGTATAGTTAGTTTGTATATAGTTCGTATATGATGTTCTAAAGCTGTGGGGCTTCACTTTGGACTTTACATTTTCACTGTCAAATTATATTGTTATGCATTTGTCCATCACCATAAACAAAGAAAAAGTCAATAAAAGAAGTAAGTACAGGTAGGAAAATAGTTTTATATCCTCTTTCACAATTCCTGTCTATGACCTGCATTCTGCTCATAGCCCTGCTGATTCTGACCCCTGATAGGGCAGAGTACCATGAGCAGCAACACCTGGAGGGAAGAGGCTTTCACCCATGGCAGAGTAAAGCAAAGACATGGTCCCAGTGACCTACTACCTATAGCAAAGGGCTCACTCCCCAAGGTTCCCGGGTTTCCGAAAAATAGCACCACCTGCGAGACAAAGCATTAAACTGACAAGCCCCTGTGAAACATTTGACAGTGTAGCCTAGAAAGCAAAGGGAGATTTAATTGAGAGCCCTTATGACTAATGATTGTATATTATAGGAAAGGGCAAATGACTGCTAGTATTTGTTCTGGACAGGAACTGAGACGTTAGTGATCAGTAACCTGTAATAATACCCAATACCATACCCTTGGAATAAAGCCAGCACTAGTACTGCACAGTCCTTGCACAGTAGCCTCTGTTAAAGGCTTTATGCCTTATATTTCAGTATCTGAGATAGGAAAAGTGTAGTCACATACCACATCATTTGCTAACATAACAGCTGTATTTCTGGTGGTAATCCTCAGTGATGAAGAGAAAGAAAGTTAAATTACTATTTCATACTAGATATAAAAGAGTTGGTAGACACAGATACTTACATTTCAGGAAAGTGGCTGTCTACATTTGCCCTAGAGGATTTTCTGATGGCCAGACCCTGTCTTTACTCAGTTTTCCATGTTAAATGTGTCTCTCCTGAGCACATGTAATCTACAGCACCAATATCTGGTACCGTGGAGCTCTTTAGAACTGCCTCTGTAGAAGTGTTATGAACAGTAGGCTCCTTATTAGGTTTCTGTCTAGGTATCTAAACAGTACTAATTTGATAAATACTGAGGGATGTTTTAGGGCGATGGTTCTTAGTATCTCTGACATGTCCATCCTTTAAAAGTGTTGATAGGGGTTCAGCTCGGTGGGCAAGTGCTTCTGTGCTGCAAGAGGTGTTGGTTTCCCCTCATCACTGCACCCTCCCTACCCCCAACAAACAAAAGTTTTTCAAGGGTTTTCTTTAAATGGGTTACAAGTACTGATATCTACAGTACTCAAAGCTAAATTTCCCAAACTGGAAATACTCATTTTAAAAATCTATTGGCATTTTATGAAAAAAGTACCCCACTTAAGTGAGAAATAGCAGTATTTGAATTTTTCTAGGTCTCTAATGTTTAATAGATGAACTAGATTCTCCTACCTGCTTCTGCATTGAGTCCATAATCAGACATTTGTATATCAGGGAAATGAGCGATGATAGTGAAAAGGGCAAGGAAAACTTTAGTGATACTATGTACAGTTTTGGTTGGCTTTGATTTTGTACTTTTGACTTGTAAGCAGCTTGAGCTGCTTCCCTCTAGTTTCCCCAAACTTACCTTGCTTCGGATACTGATGAGTGACAGCTAATTTACACGAAGTCAAGAGGATTTGAGGAAAACAGAAATGTAGATGAGGTATTGAAATTATTCCTCTTTATTCTTCATTTGAGGATACATTTGATTATGGGTTGTTTTTCTTTAGTGTTTGGGGAGTTTAAGAACCTTTTAGACCACACATGTAATTGTGCATCACTTAATGAAATCTTTAGACAGTTCTGTTCTTGTACAAACATGTTTGTACACAGACCTAGATGGTACAGCTTACTGTACAACTAGCTATATTATGGGGTATATGTATTATGCCTAGCAGTGTTTTATACTTGGCTTATACTTCCTCACCAAAAACACAGTAGTACTGATATGACAAAAGCAATGGTGTCAATAGGCCTTAGAAATTATATTATAATCTTAAAGGATCATCTTATATGTGCAGACTGTTAGTGACCTAGACATCTTTATGCAGAACAATTGTACACACAGCGGTTTGGAGTTAAAGGTAAAATTTTGCTGAATTTTACAGAGCAGTGTTATGTTTCCCTTCATGTGCACCATTTACCCTAAAGTAAATGGTTAGGGAGTTCCTGCAGCTGTGGTTGGCCCAAAGTATCTCTGGACCTTTGTCCTTCCATGTCTGCAGTCTTCTGTCACTTGTCATCCTGTTTTGTTCTGTATAGCCTATTCTTTCCAGTAGCTCCTATGGAAACTGCCTGGATTGGTTGGTTTGCCAACCATTTCTTGAATGTCAGCAGTGTGACCCAGATGAGCAGTCATGGCCTCAGGAGCTTTTAGTAGTACAGCAACTGACAGAGAAATAGATACAGCCAAGATCCACAGTATCTAAAACTGGCTCGTAATCTTAAGTCAAAATTGAGTAGTTGCAGTTTCTACATTTTCCATGGAAGTTGTTTCTATTGAGGCAGTCTTATTCTTTAAAATGAAGCATGACCTGTAGTGGCACTGTATTTTCTTCGGCTGTGTTGTGTTACCTCCCACATGCATGCATTTCACCTAGTTGGCAATTATAGAGTGGCACCCTTTTGTCCTTTTAAAGCAGGGTTTCACTGTGCAGGCCCCAGACCACCCCCCTCAGTCTTTTAACCTTCAAACCTCCATCACCCTCCCAAATGCATTACATGTGTGAGCTTCCGTAGGTTGCTTGTGGTGTTTGTGTGTTTTAAATTTCTCCCAGTTTTTATAGCATATTTATAGTTTTGAAGTGGCTGTGTGACTTTTTTTGTACATTGTTATTGTTGTGTTTTTGTGATACCTATATGTACATGCATCTTGGTTTCTTTAAAGATTTTCCACTGAGATAAATTTTAAAAATTACCGAGAAAGACTATGTGACTGTGGCTTGTGCTGCATGTTGCAAGACTGCATTCCAGAAACTTTGTGCCAGTGAACTAGCTGTGGTGGATTGCAGGAGTGGCACTAGTGGCCTCAGTCCTGTCCTGTCTTGGGTAACACTACAGTTTTATAATTGGTTATTTGCACAGTGTAACAGCAGAGTGAAAAAACATTCATATTACTTTCCTAATTTCATTTGTGTTCCTTAACTTTGAACTTTTTATGTGTTTATGCTTGGTAGTTTAATGCTGGTTTTCTTGATTAGAACTTATTCTGCTTCTAAGCCAGCAATTTTCAACCTGTGGCTTGCAACCCCTTTACAGGTCACATATCAGGTATCCTGCATATTAGATATTTACGTTAGAAGTCATAACAGTAGCAAAATTACAGTAATGAAGTGGCAAATCATTTTATGTTTGGGGTCACCACATGGGGAACTGTATTTAAGAGTCGCAATATTAGGAAGGTTGAGAACCTCTAAGCCATATTTTGTGGTGTTGCTCTGTGGGTCTTCTCAAGTCAAATCTAATACCTGCCAGGCTTCTTTCTTTAAAGTCCCAGCCTCCCTTAGGGAAACATAAGTTTTCATCGTGTAGTTTTAGAGTATTTTAGGATGTGGCTCCTCCTTGGCCATGTGCTTTTTCCTTTTTCCATAGTCTCAGTTTATGGGCTTCCATTAGGTCAATAGAAATGTGCTAAAAGCAGTAATTAGGTTCTGGTCCTTGCTGTGTGTACCCTGTTGAGCAGCTGTGCTCACTAAAATAAGAGTAAAATTTTAACAACTTATTAATGTGTAGACTGGTAATTAATGGGAACCTCTGTCTTATGGTACTGTGTAATCTTTACTTCTCAAGCTAAGATGCCTCAGTTAAAATCTGTAGGACAGGGACAAAAATCTCATGTGAAAGCAGTTGAGGTGATCCATGAGTACCTGAAATGTCTTATAGAGCATTGGCCAACAATAATTTATTACAGGTATTATTTCTAAGTTTTTGTTTTTAAGTACTAAAGGAGGTTGAGATTTCTGCCTTTTTGGTGGTGTCAGAGTATAGCTCTATGCTTGGACATATTCTCTTAGTACCTGTATGGAGAGAATGACACCTCATTAGAACGCCGTGGTTTGCAGGGTAAATTAATGTTAATGAGAGGGTTATAAGTTAGCTCTGTGAGATATGGACTGTTCTTTGGACAGTAAGTTGGAGGTGGAGTGTAGGATTAGGAAACAGAACCTCCACTGGACACAAAAGCATCGTCAGTACAATAAGAATCAATTACTGTTGTCACACAGGTATATACAGACACTCAACACCTATGAGTAGGTACTGGTAAATGATATATTAAGAAACTGTGTTTCTAGTTACTGTTGTCATAGTTACTGTTCTATTGCTGTGAAGAGACACCTTGATCAAGAAAATTCTTATAAAAGAGTTTAATTGGGACCTTGCTCATAGTTTTGGAGGGTTAATTCACGATCATCATGATAAGAAGCAGGTAGGCATGATGCTGGAATAATAGTTGAGAACTTTATATCTTGATCCACAAGCTGCAGCAGAGATACAGAGGCTTGGTGTAGAAATCTCAAGGTCCACTCCCAGTGACAACCTCCTCCAACAAGGCCACACTTAAACCTTCCCAAACAGTTCCACTAACTGGGTATCAAGTATTCAAGCATAGCCAATGGGGACAATTCTCATCAGACCACCAAATGACATTGCTAACTTTCATTAGTTCTCACACAGTTCTGTGCAGTAACATCTTAAAAACATTTTGGTATCTGGCATTTAATTTTTGCAAGGGGACACAAAGCTGGCAAGTGGTACAGCTTGGACTTGAAGCCAGTTATCTGAGAGTATTCATGGTAAGACAGAAAGTGTGAAAAGAAAGCTATGTGCCAGTTGTTTTAAAGTTCTAAGAGCAGTTGCTTCAGGATAGTTGGAAAATAATATACTGAAGTCTACAAGATCCATCTTGGCTTAATTTTTTTCTATTACTAAACTTGGTCACATGTGATAAAAAAAACTTGGATGTTTTTGCCTCTCTTCCTTTTTCATCAGTATTAGCCCATTCCTTTAGAATTGGTTTTAATTTCCCTGTTGTGTTATAGAAGTGGTGAAGGAATGGCAGAAATAAACAAGAAAACTGAAAGCCAGTTAGATTTTGCTGTATTGTGAAACAGAAAATATAGGTTTAAAGGTTATAGTCACCTCCTGTTTTAAGACTGTATCTTAATCTTTCTTTCATTCTGGAGCCACTGTGAACACAGCAGTTGAACTGTCTGCACTAACATTGTTTTCAACAGGATGCATTCAGTTTACTAGCATATTCAGATCCTTGGAACAGTCCAGTTGGAAATCAACTTGACCCAATTCAGAGAGAACCTGTGTGCTCAGCTCTTAACAGTGCAATATTAGGTAAGTAACTATAAAGCAAATCAACTAGACTTCAGCTACATTCTCAACATTTGAAAGGATATTAATATTTGTTTCAGTAAAATAGGGACATATCATTCTATTTAAAACTACTGAAAACTTCCTCCATACCAAACGGATTACTTGAATTCTTGTGGAATAAGTGGTAGATTCTAAAGTATATCTTAGAAAGTGTGTGTGTGTGTGTGTGTGTGTACGTACGTGTGTACGTACTTAATGAGTCCTGTATAGAATGAGGTACTTGGGTGGTTTTTGTGTTTAAATTTTAAAAAACCACTATAGGGGCACCTCATTTTGGAACTGGGAATAACATGCATCATTCTTTTAAATTCTTTCATCAATTTGGCCTGAGCTGCTCCTCTTGTATGGAAGAGGATATGGACATGGCAGGAAAATAGCCTTGTGTTTCTTCCAAGTATGTGTCATTGGGCTGAGTAGTGGAAAGCCTATGTTATAGAATAGTTAACATGTGATCTTGACTAGCCCAGGTAAGAAAGGTGACTTCAGACTGAAAATACAGGAAGTTATGTCAGTAGCAATATTTAATTGGCTGCTGTGGAAGGAATTTGGGCATATTTCTGAAGAGTTTGATAGTTGCTCCCCAGGAAAATGAGGCTGGGAGTACTTGAATAGATGACTCGAATCTCAGCTGGAACCACCCTGATACCATTCTAAACCTTTAACTCAGGCTGTTTAAAGAAGTAGGGGTACCTGAGCTCCCCCTATTCATAGCTTCTGTGCTTCAGACATAAGCAGTACCAATCCCTGGACTCAGACATTTGTCTTTAAATTAAACAAATCACTTAAGTGGTCAGGCTTTGTCAGTGTGTATGGGAAGTGGGAAACGAGAATCTGCTGTTGGGTTAGCTTTTGTTCCTGTCATGTTACCACAGTGATAGTAATCGTAACTATATGCTGAACAAATACATTTATACAAATTCTATAGTTACTAGAAATGCCAAATGCTTCATCTATACATAAAGCTTAATCTCTGAGCTGTTTTCTCCAAAGGAAAGTCAGATCAAGGGTTATTTTACATCTGACGTTTAGAGTTTTAACTTTTCCAATAAAATGAGACTCTAGTCCAGGTTAGAAGTTTGTGCTGTTATTCGGCCTAGTGAGGCTTAGAAGCTTTTTTAACCATGTGTTTCAAATAGTTTTGGAAAGGTGACAGCACTGTCACATGAGTAGAGTGATTCAAACATTAGTACTTGTATTGAAGGTTAATATGTAAAAATATAAAGGAAGCCATGAGTTTTGATATTTATCCTTAATCTGATAAGGGTCAATGCTGCCATTTGGGAGTAAGAATAGTGGCTTTGTATGGTAGCATTTATGTGTAGAATAATATGAATTTGACCTTTGAGTTGCATTTTCAGTGGCTATAGAGGATCATCTCCTTGGTAAAAATAAGAGAACTTAATAATAGTGCTAATATAGGGGGAATGATGGCTTACTGTAAAGGCTTTGTTTTTGTGTGTATGTGAAACAACTAGATTGTAGGGTGTCAAAACATCTGATTGCTAAGTTGCCAATTTTCTTGTGGCAGTGTTTTTTTAAGATTTATTTATTATGTATATAGTATTCTGCCTGCATGTATGCCTGCATGCCAGAAGAGGGCACCAGATCTCATTATAGATGGTTGTAAGCCACCATGTGGTTGCTGGGGATTGAACCTTTGGAAGAATAGCCAGTGCTCTTAACCTCTGAGCCATCTTTCCAGCCCTTGGGGTAGTTTTTAATTTCTTGAGTTCTTCAAATCAGAAGCTCAGGAGCATTATCCAAGACACATGTGTTAGGCTGGGTGAGGCAAACATGCCTTTGAGACAAGCAGACCTCTGTATTTAAAGCCAGTCAGTTTCACATAAAAAAGTTTCTGGCCAGCCAGGACTACAAAGTGAGACCTTGGGGATGGAGGTCAGGGAGAGACACAGAAAAAAAACAAAACAAACAAACAAACAAAAAAAAACCCACAAAAAACTATGAATAATGCTTATATTTTTAAAAACAATCTAAACAATAATGTGGGTGACTGCATCTTTTTTGCTACTCATGGCCAGACCTACATGTAATGCATAATACACTGTCATATATTTCTTAAAAGCTTGAAGATAGATAACTTAAAACCAAAAACCAGATGCACCCTTTGGTCAAAGAGTGTAATAATGAAACCAGTGCTCACACTTCCTATGAACCATAAGCTTTAAAAAAAAAAAAAAAAATCATTTTTTCCTTTGTATTTGTCAGTAAATCAGTACTTTAATACACGGACAATCTTTTTCTTTGGTGTGCGGGTATTTCAAGACAGGGTTTCTTGTGTGTCCTGGACTTAAGCTTTGTAGACCAGGCTGGCCTTGAACTCAAGAGATTCACCTGCCTCTTCCTGAGTGCCAGGATTGAGTTGGGTCCTGTTACCCTAAGTTCATGTCATCTTTGTAGTCATTGCACATTTAATCCCAGCACTCAGGAGTCAGAGAGACCAGCAGATCCCAGTTTCAGGCCATCTGGTCTGTAGAGTGAGTCCCTATCAAAAACAAAATACACCTGCCTGTCTTAAGGTTGTGATGTGTTCCACCCAGGAACACTGTATTTATTAAAATATCTGAAGTAATGATCAGAGCCTTTTCAAGTCTAGGGTGGCTTTGCTCTGTACGCTGACAGGCATTCCCTTGCTTCTGAATAACACTTAACAGCGTACCTTAGAGGCAGCTCAATAGCCTTCACCTGACTTTTATCTACAGGGGGTCAGGAAACTTTGAATAAAAATCTAGTACTACCTTTTCTTGTTAATGTCAGCTGACCTTGGCTAAGCATCAAGGTTGAGAGAGAAGAGTTTGAGTATATACCTTAAAAAGGATCTTTGAGTTTCAGGCCAGATAGGAATACAAAGTGAGACCAAGTGTGGTAGCCTGGCTTTAATCCTAGGGAGGCAAAGATAGAGGACCGAGTTCCAGGCCAGCCTGATCTACAAAGCAAGTCCAGAACAACCAAGGCTACATGGAGAAAACCCTGTCTCAAAAAAACAATGAATGAGTAAAGTTTTAAGAAACCTTAGTTCAGCAAGAACTTTCTTAGAAATGCGAATCTGCCTTGCTAGTCATGTATAGGTCAGATCCTCACAGGTACTGATGTAGGAAATGTTGTATTTTCCTGATTGAAAGATGGTTTTTAAAGTGATTGTTAATTGCTATTTCCATATTCTAATCCTCTTTCTTTAGAAACTCACAATCTGCCAAAGCAACCTCCACTTGCCCTAGCAATGGGACAGGCCACACAGTGTCTAGGACTGATGGCTCGATCAGGAATTGGATCCTGTGCATTTGCCACAGTGGAAGACTACCTACATTAGCTATGCACTTCAGGAGCTCACACTTACATTGTGGCAAGTAGTCAACGTGGAAGTAGACCGGCTCTGCTGATTTGAAATTTAGATTTTTTTAATTATGTACTGGGGACAGGTTTTTGTCGCTTTACATTGCTTCCTAGTTTACAGCATGATGCAAATGATTTTCTAACTTAGTGTTAGGAGAAAATATTTTCCATCTTTTAACCTCTTAGTTGTCTAAGAGTTAAATATTACTGAATTTCAGACGTTCAAATTGATCATCAGAAATCCTTTAAAACAATTACCTAAAAGAAACCAAAAATCCTGCCTTCTTTGTTGGGGGGAGAAGGGGGGAAGGAAATGGAACAAGTTGTGTTTGTGTTAGCATGTGGGTGATGTAAACTACAAATTGGGAGCTGTTCTGACCCCCGCTCCTGTGTAACCATTCAATCAGTGTAACTTGCAAAATGCATAAACATCCGACAGTCCGAATTTAATAGTGTTGATGGAAGAAATCATTTCTAATGTGTACTGTAAAACTTGAAATACTCAGGAGCTGAGTGAGTATGTTTGTTGCTACTTACAATCCCAGCCTGTTGTCCCAGTAGTTTTGTTTTTAACATGGTCTTTTTCAACTTTGTTTCCTGTTTAACTACAGATGACTTCTGTTGTAGACTCACAAGTTTAACTGTTGTATTATAACAGTATTACATGTCAACAGTGTGGTTATGACCTTTATTTATATAAAAACCAAATATTTAGTCAATTTACCGTGTCTTAATTTAATCTTTGTACACCTTCCATTTTTAAGTGCTTAAATGAGTACTATATTGCAATAAAAATGTAGTGATATAATTAACCAGCCATTAAAAATTTACTTCTACAGATATTAGTGTCAGTTGAATTTATGTGTAAGGTTTTCATATACTTTTTAGAAAAATTAATATTAGTCTTACTGTCTGTCCAAGTTCTACAGTCTAAGACTGCCTTCAGGTAATTACACTAGTCAAACCTGACATTGTGTGTGCAAGTAAAAAAAAAATAGGAATTTAACAAGTACTGTAAATGTCAACCAAGCAAACCCCCAAACTAGTTAAGCTGTTCCAGGGCCAGCAAGATGGCTCAGCAGGTAAAGGCACTTGCTATTGTAGTCTGGTGACATGAACTCAACCTCTGGAACCCACATGGTACAGAAGACTCAATATACACTGTCTCCTGATAAACCATGAATGTGCACATACCTTTTCTTTAAAAAACAAAAACACTTATTTCAGATGAATTCAGTCCATTGCTGGACAAAGGTGCTGACGGAAGCCTAAGCCTTCTCCAGCAGATATTTATTTACCTCCTCCTGGAATTCACCCACCTGTGCTCTTTAACAATAACTTATTCCTTGATAGCAGTAATCACATCAATTAACAGAATAGCTTTTCTGCTGAAGACTCCACAGATGGTCCCTTTATCCCTCCCTCCCCGTGCCCACAAGGATGAAAATTCCTCTTTAATTGCTCTTCCCTCCAGGATGGATACTCAACTGTATTCCAGAAAGAAATGTAGCCGGCTGTTTTCCCAAACAGAAAAGTTTATGGTTTTTATAATGATCCTTTACAATGATTTATGAATGACTAGATTTTGAGAAGTTAATCCTCTACTCCAAGTAACCTTAAATTCTATACATACAAAGTACAGGTTCTTCATTTAGCTTTACTTCAATTCACTTGTAAGTTTTCTTTTTCATCTTTTTGGCCATCCACCGTTTTTTAAACCTCTTGGCATTTTGTTGTTTCTGAGCACCTACAACACAATAGAAAGCTCCATGTGTAGGAATACTCAACAAGTATCAGTTTAAAACCCTGAGATTTTTCAGTGTCTGGATTACACAAATGGATACTATAAAGTAGATCTTTCAATTTATAATCTTGACCCGCCTCCTTTCAAAAGTATTCCCTTTGTAAACTACAAAAGCCAAGAGAAGAACGTTCCAGCTTACCCCAGGTGGTATTCAGAAACTGGGCAGCAGCCTTTTTCACTGGTAACCTCTTATTGTTCAGAGATAGGAACTTGTTTACTAAAGGAAAGAATCACTTGTCATTTCTTTATCATTATGAGAAACTGAGACAGACAACACTCCATAAGAAAATTACCAGTAGTCCTCTTGGATCCTGAACCATATAAACAGTTGTGGATGAAGTGTTTGGCTGCTTCTTGCCTTGAATCTCTCAGATCTTGATCTTTTAGCCTTACAGCCAAGTAGCTTTTAGCCTGACTGGTGAGCAATAAAAAAAGGTCAGAATAGAGGGCACATGCTCATTTTCCTACATAACTGTGAATGTGGTGTTGCGGAGGGTCAACCCATGGTGGATCACATACACTAAGCAAGCACACATCTTTAACCCAACTTCCCCCTCCCCCCTTTTGGCAAGTGGGGGTGGGGTGGTGTCAAATCCAGGGCCTCACAAATGCAAGACAGGGACCCAATTAACTCATTACTTCACTTTGAAAAGTCATTGTTTTTGTTCATCCTTGTCTTTAAGTGACTGTATGCATACATTATACAGCTAATTCACATGCTATTTTATAAGAAAAAGAAATACTTTAACATGCTTTAAGGCAGCAAGTGTTACTAACCCGAAAATGATATTTTTCTACAAATAACCCAATCTGATATACTACCATCTTCTTCCCATAAGCCAAAACTTTTAAAAGGAAACATCCCATTAGGAAAACAGAACAGAACTCATTACCCGACAGACTGCACTTTCTGTATTTTAACTTTTTTGGAGTTTCTTCCTTTTGCATGGTGTTCACTTTCCTTTTTCAAATTACCTGAAAAATTAAGATCCACTTTGTGGAATAGTATTTCTATAAATTTAACACTTCAGTGAGTGCAGGTTTCATTTTGAAGAAATAATGGGGAACGGGCTTAAGCCAACTTTTTCCAGGTCTAGGGGCCACAAATAGCCAAGAACACCTGCAAATGCACCTCACCCTTATATGAAGTTACTTAAATGAGAACAACTCATACCTTTTTCGTTTCCTGATGATTCCTTTATGCTATGGGGGGGAAAAAAAGGTCAGAACAGCAAGCAGTGAAGAGTACTCAAAACAAGTAGCATAAGTTCCCCTTCTGGCTTTCATGACCACTACCTTTGATTTTTAATCATGCCACACAGCACTGCCAGCAAGTCCCAGTCACTGAACTAACATGGAGTATCCTCAGAATGTAAACCTGAACAATGTTGGTAGGCATCCAGAGAGTATGCTTAACAATGTGGAAAACTCAAGAACTGTTTGTAGAACTTAGCACTCCAAATACCAAATAAAGGGTGCTGCTTGTCTACACTGCCTGGAAAACGAAATAACAGCAACTATACAGATCAAAAGTGATGGGGGAGGTTGAACTTGATTATGAACAAGGACTTCAACAGCAAAAACATCATGAATTCAAGATCTGAATGATTATGGAAAAATAACCAACATATTGGAGCTACTATCCTGATTTTTAAAAACTTCAGATTTTAGAGTGCACTAAGGCCAGATGGGATGTACACACCTTTAAATCCTGGCACCTAGAGGCAGAAGCAGACAAATCTGAGTTTGAGGCTAGCCTGGTCTACAGAGTGAGTTATTAACCCTGTCTAGAAAAACAATGAACCAAGGAGTGCCAAGAGCAAAGGAATAAGTTCATGGGACTTATTTCATGGAATAAACGCAAGCCTTGAGTTTTTAGCACAGATAACTGAGCAAAGCTGCTAAATGAAATGGGGAATAGTGAAAGGGTGATGGCAGATCAAACAAGCCTAAGAAAAGTTTGTGTTTAGGAGCTTTGGCTAAATGCCTGCTGCAACACTAAATGGTAAGCTTTACGTCACTTATTTACCATACATCCTGCACCAGGGCAGATGCTGGGTGGGGAAAGTTTACTTGATAGAGCGGGATAAGGAACTCCAAAACCACTGCGTAGCTTTTAAGTTAGGGAGAATTGCTTCAGTTGTACAGACTTAAAGATGGCTTTATGTAAGTAGAAGCCCCGTTACTTACTCAGCCTCTGAAGCTGTCGTTAGCTGCTCTAAAACAGCGTCTGGAAGCAGTTTTCTTTTCTTTTGGAATAAAAACATTTGAAGAGAAGTTAAAAGTGATGTACAGGTATGACACGGATTGCTTTTAAAGTTATTCATTTCAAACAGCCCTACGTCTGGACCACTGCCCTGCTCCCTCTAGGCTGACAGTCTGGGTGTACAAAGCCCAAAACATTCTCTGTAATTGTACCCAAAGTAACGGAACGTTCAAGTGTCCCTATTACAATAGAAAGTCGGATGCCCGGGATGTAAATACGTAATCATTAACCATGGGTATAACTTTAAAAACAAGAGAACCCCACTACGACCGGAAGCCGAGACCAGGTGAGTGTCAGCGCTACCACGCCCAGCTCCTCTTCAATAGCCTATCCTAAAGCCTTTAGCCAGGGAACCCTCTAGTCTCGGCCCCAACCTTCTGCTCGATGAACAGCTCCTCGCGCCGCCGCCGCTTCTCCTTCAGCAGCGTTTTATCCCTGGGAGAAAAAGGGGCAGGTCAGCGCGGGCCGAAGTCGGGGAGTCGCAAGGCGCCCCGGTCCCGACCGCGGGCACCGCACCTGCGAGCGGTCTCGCGCACGCGCAGCTCCTCCTCCCTCGCTTCCGCCTGGGCACTAGCGAAAGTCAGCTCCTCCGGGGCCTCGTCGTCCTCGTCCTCGTCCAGCGGCTCCGCGGCAGCGCCGCTGCTGGGCTGCGCGAGCAGCAAACCGTGCTCCGCCTCCTCCTCCTCCGAGGCCGGCTGGTCCTCGTCCACCATCGCCTCCGCCGGCGCGGGGATACGCGACGAGCGTGGCCGGAGCTGCACCATTGCCAACGGAAAGACGACTGAATGACCCTTGACCCGGAAGCAGCCGCTAGCTGTGCGCGACGCATGCTCTCTACGCCCCCTGTTGGTTTGGAGGCCACAGAACGGGCAGAGGCGGGCGCCGAGAAGGTTGTGTGGCTTCAGCGTGGTTGTGACCTGGAGGCAGACTGGGAAGAGGGGACGGGTCGTTGTCGCTGCTTTGTTTCTTTTTTTTAGGTCCCCAAGTTGACCGACGGAACAGCTCCAAGGGTGTAATAAATAATGAATGACCATCATTGCCTGCCGGATGCATCCCTCTGCCGTATACTTTCTGGGAATGTACGGCCTTTGTGATCTCTACCTCTTATCCATTATAGAATACGAAATAATTCGTTTCCTACTCAATCCGTGCATTTGGAATAAGCTGTCATTTCCGAAATGTGTTCCCCAAGTCAGAACTTCCCACCCAGATTAAGTTCAAGGACATGCCATGCTGACATGTCTAGTTACACTATTCTCCAAACCTTGTACACGTGTCTGTCACAGCTCTACCCTCTGTAATCAGTTCACATGCGCACTTCTTCAACTGTTCTGAAATCATCAATTTCTAATGTCTATCATGCAGCGTATGTTCAACAAATGGTTAGTTACATCATATATACTGTGCACTTCGCAATCTTATTTAATCTCTTATTTAGAAGCAATTTTCAATTTAAAAACAACGAAGCGAGTGTGGTCAAAAAGAATAAAACCTGGCTGGTAGGTGGTGACACAAGCCTTTAATCCTAGCACTGGGAGGAGAGGCAGGAGGATCTCTGTGAGTTCTAGGCCAGCCTGGTCTACAGAGTAAGTTCCAGCACAGCCAGAGTTACAAAAAACAAAAAACAAAAACAAACAAACAAACAAAAAACTCTGTCTCAGGAAAGGAAAAAAAACAAAACAAAAAAATCCCCCAAACCAAAAGTGAACAAAATAAGAACTGCTGGAAGGGGAGGAAAGAGGTGGCAGCTCTGAAACCTCTGGGCCTTGGTCAGATAGCAAATACAAATGGAGACTGTTCTCAGAGTCAGGCACAGTAACCCACGCCTGAAATCCCAGCACTCAGGAAGCTGAAGCAAGCAAATCATAAGTTCCAGGCCAGCCTAAGCTAAAGTAAAACCTATCTCAGGAAAACAAATGTTCACGGCAGCGTGCTGATCCCTACCTTAACTAATATTGAGAAAATGGAAAGTGTTAAGCTAAAGGCCAGTGACAAACCTAGGAAAATCACATGGTGGTGCTGTCTGTACAAAACCCACATGAGAAGTGTCAGAGGGCAGGAGACATGCCTCAGCGGTTAAGAGAACACGAACTCACTGTTCTTCCAGAAGACCTAAGTTTCGTTCCCAGCACCCATGTCAAGCAACTCATAACCACTTTTAACTATAGCTCCGGGGGTTCCAATTTGTCTGGCCCCTGTAGGATACACACCCAGTGCAGACACACACACATACACACACACACACACACACACACACACACACACACACACACACAAACACCTTTCTCAGAAAGTTTGAAGTTATAATCGGCCCTCTAGCTGTACAGCCTTTGGCCTACCCACCTGAAGTGTGACTCTCAGGGTGCCTGGCCAGTTCTCCAGACCCCCAGTTGGTGGGAAAATCTATCTCCTTCACACAAAGGGCTTTTGGGATTTGTTACAAATGACTGTCACGTATGGTACATGTAACTGTACCTTGTTGCCTATGGTAGATCATTTCAGTCATCGACATGATTGGATTAATAAACACCTTTGGGGAGCCATGAAGTCTTGAGTGATACTGCCGTGTCAGTGTCAAGGACCTCAATGCCTCAGACCTATGGGAATGGCAAAGCCTTACCTGGGGCAGGGCCAGGGAAATGACATATGTTGTCCTGTGCCAATGTTGACAGTATGTGCAAAACCTAGGAACCACAGCTACACCCTCCTGGAGGGTGACCCCAGCCACAGACTGCTGCCCTACAGAGCCCTCCCACAGAGACTGTTGAACCCCACACTTCCTTGTGCTGCACATAATAAACTTGCTGAGTTTCCAGGTTGCATAGAAGGTGCCCTCCATCGGAGTGCCAACCCCCCTGACCCCAGCTTTTCTACACGTCTCTCTGTCCTTTGTCGGTGTCCTGTTGTAGGATATTTGATCCCATTGTGAACCCCAAAATTGTGAACTGTAAAAAACACTCTCTCTTTGGTGTGGTTGAGCCCTAGCATACACCTTTAATCCAAGAACTTTCTGTTTATTGTAAACAGGTGATTATGGTGTGGTTCACCCAGCCTTAGCACACACCTTTAATCCAAGAGCTTTCTGTACACAGGATTTAATAAAATTAACTCTGGATCAGGAGGCAGAGAAGTAAACCGCCTGATAGAGATTAAAGTGTAGGAGAGACTTTGAGTTGAGGGGTATTTAAGATAGCATGGAGAAGAAGAAAGGGCTATTAGATCAAGCTCTGGCTTTAGCTTAGGCTTCAGCTACTCAGCTCCCTGGCTTTTGGGTTTTAAGTTAGCAAGCCTTTGGCCTTGGGCTTTTTTTCTATTTTATTTATTTATTTATTTATTTATTTATTTATTTATTTATTTATTTATTTGGCCTTTTGCTCCTGGCTTTCAGCTGAGCTAGTGCAGCTTTTATTTTGTTTCCTTTTTTTTTTTTTTTCCCCATGCAGACCTGAGCTGAGAAGGAAGGTTAGCTGGTTACTTTCTTTGCCTCTCTGAGCTAGCAGGTTTTCACCCCAGCATCTGGCTCCTGAGTAAATTGATAAAATAAAACGGTTTGGATTTTTCTTCTTTTCAACAACAAGGTCTGTCATTTCTTCATTGCCAAGTTGTTCCCATCAGGTTTCTAGCGCCTGGCCATGCAGGATTCGGTAAACACCTGGTCCAATGAGGTACACCTTCTGATGTGCCTGTATCAAGTTCTCTCAGGGTTAGCTGAGGAAGAAATACCCCGAACGTGAGGGGCAGAGTGTATACAAAGGGGAAAGAGGAAGCAAATGGACTACTGGGATTCCCTTTGTGTATTTTCTGGGCAGCCACGGACCAAGCCATTCCCTAACGTGTCTTCCCTGCTATGATGTGTTCCTCTGAACCGTGAGCCAGGATAGACCTTTCATCCTTTACACTGAGTTTTGTCGGGTATCTTGGTCACGGTCATGAGAAAGGTAACTATTGCCAGAAGCCCAGGGTATTACATGGAATTCTGAGGTGAGGCAGTACAGTTACCTGGGGAACCAACGGGCTCCAAGGGAGAGCATTAGGTGTGTATGCCCTTTATCCTCTTTGCCAGTGGCCACTGCATCCCTCTAGAACTCGCTCCCTCTCATTCAGGGCCACACTGCATCTGCAACATTCTTGCTACTTTATTGCAAGGTAAAAAGCTGAATTTTCCAAGGTTTCCTGGAGCTTTTAGGCCAGTAGGGACCACATGCTCCTTCATTCATGACATTAAGCAATGATGTAGGCCAGAAGAGACACTGCGCTCCTTCCCTCATGAGATGAAGCGATGGTTGCCCTTCGTTTCCTCTCCTTAGGGGCCACTCAAGTGCTTCTTCCAGGATTAGCGGTGTTCTTTTCCTCTTCCTGGTGTCTCTACCTGCTTGTCCCTTTTCTTGCCTTGCATGAGTTCTTGCTGTGACTCCAGATTCTTTAAGGTAAGGCATCCAAGCAAAATACCGAAAAGAAAAGGAAATGAAGCCCCCAACAAAGGCCTCTCTTGAGGGGACATCTTAGACAATATGTTACCGATTATAAAAGATAGTTTCATTTCCACACACCTACTTACAAAAATAAGTAAATACTGGGGCTTAAATTTTAGTGTTTTAATTCTCTATTTCTATCTTTGCCCAACACACAACTAGGACAATTACCTTCTTTTCAAACAATTTAATTAAAAATCATTTTCTCCCAGTAACTGACTAAGAACATCAAAATTCAAAATACTCATATTTCGTTTCAAACCTAATAATATGGAAGAACATGAAAGTTCATCAGCCTCTTCCAGATAAAACATACTTGCTTTTGGTATTTTGAAGACCAATCACATTACAGACTGTCTGCTAGGGGCCTGGAGGTTATTTTCAGATTTTCTGAAGTTTGCATCTCACCATCCACAAAACCATTTCTCCTGTTCGTACCCTGGTTCTGTGATACACGTTCTTCTCATCTTTCTACAGGACAATTAAGAAATCCTTTCACTTTCGTGAGGAGCAAGGGCTTCAGGAAGTGTTGTCCCACAGGGTCCCTGAAAATGGAACCTAAGTAGAAGGAGCAAGACAGCAGAATTAGGAGATATACGTTAATAAAGCGAACACACACCTACAGCTAACAACATGCAAAACTACAGGTGATAATAACATACAACTAATGGTGTTTTAAATTTTTAATAAACATTTTTTTTTGACAGGGTCTTACTATGTAACCCTGGCTAGCCTGGACCCTGTCATGTAGAGCAGGCTAACATTGAACTGACAGAGATCAGCCAGTCTCTGCCTCCCAAATGCCAGGATTAAAGGTGTGTGCCACCAAACCTGGCTTTTGTGGACTTCTTTAACTCAAGTTCTGACAATACAAACTGTAACATCACAGGTGACTGTCTAAAGCCTGTGTGCCATAAAACCTTTATTCTGACAGGTAGATGAGGCATGATTGCAGTGTGTTTTCCCAGTGTAATTCCAAATTCGGAACAAATTACATATGTGTCCATATTTGTCTGAAGACAGAAATGGATGGAAAGATATCCCATATTCATGGATTGGGATAATTAATATTGTTTAAATATCCATACTATATATAATTCTTATTGCAATTCCAATGTCATTTTTTTTCATAGCTAAAACAATCCTAAAACTCACAGATTCACACAAACCTTGGTTACTGAAAAAAACTCATGAGTATAATGAACAAAGCAAGAGTCTCCATGGAAAATGACATCCTCACAAATAGTACAAAGTGATAGAAATTAAAATAGCACAGTACAGGCATAAAGATAGACACATCATGGATTATAGAATAAAGTCCCGAAATAAATCTTTAAGTCTATGGTCAACTGACTTCACAAATCTACCAGTGACACAATGGAAAAAGGGAGGTCTTTTCAATAAATGGTGCTGGGAAATTAGATATCCACATGCTGAGAAATGAAACTGGACCCTCACATAACATATTAAAAGGAATTTAAAACTACTAGAAGAAAACACAGAGGGTCCACAACACTGGGCAAGGCCATGACTTCTAGATTTCTCAAAACGCAGGCCACAAAAACAAACACAGACAAATGTGATTCTATAAAATTAAAATCAGCTTTGAGAGTAGCCAAGTGTTTGAACTCTGTGCTGTGCTACCCTGGGCCACATCCCCGTCATGGGAAGAATAAGAAACCCCTGGAGCATGATATGGGCTCTATTTTAGATGGACATGGTGAGCACGCCAATAATTGCAGAATTAGGAGGTCAACAGAGGAGAATCATGAGTTGGAGGCCAGCCTGGGCTACATATTAAACTATAATAAGATGTATATTTTGGGTTGAAGATTTATCTTGGAGTTAAGAGAGTTTGTCTAGTGTCACAGGCTCTGAGTTCAATCCCCAGCGTTACAAAGTAAAATGGAAAATAAATTAGAGGGGCTACAGAGATGGCTACACGGCTAAGAGCAGGTACTGCTCTTGCAGAAGATCAGAGTTCAGTTCCCAGCGCCCACATCTTGCAGCTCACAGCAGCCTGTAATAAGAGATCCAAACCCTCTGGCTTCCACTTATGTACACACTTATGTGCACGTATGTACACACAAACAAACACACACACACAATTAAAATAGAGTTCCTGTCAAGAACTCCAGCTGTAAATGATGATTCAGGAGGTATAGGTGTCTGCTTTGTTTTCTTTGTAAGGGCTCGGGTGATTTTTATCTTTTGGAAGCTTAAGGAAACACCAGGAAAATTATGGGAATGAGGAAAGGTGAGCTCCTTTCCTAGCAAAGTGCATCTCAAACGGAAGGCCTGTGTGATAGCCAAAACCAGCAAAGATAAGGCTAATAAGGAGTTATTTGTGCTTGAAATATATACATATATATAATGAAATATACATGTATGTATGCATGTATGTATATACAAATATATGTATATGTATGTGTATAAAGTTCAAGGCATGCATGTATCCTTTTTCTTTGGACTCACACTAGGTAAACTTTTAGATTACGTGATCAATAGAGGCCCAGCTACTCAGGCAAAGAGGCCTTGTTCACCACTCGTGATGGCACAGCCAGGCGAGCAGTCAACTACCCCGTCAAATGCGGCCACTGTGTCTTAAAAGCAAGGGCACTTCAAACCCTTGATAAAGCGGCATTACTGCCTACATAGTTTTCAGTCTGATTCCTTAGATTTCTAGCCTCCACAAGCAATTGGTATTCGGATGGAAGTACCTTTCTTCCCCACATACCACTGCATTACTTTATTACTCCCAATCATCTCTCCTGGACTCTCCCCTCGAAAACTTCCCGCAACCAGACCGGCCCCATGGTGGTCCCCGCACTGCCTGCCTGTGCACCTGACTTGGGCCTTTGTATCAGCCTTTGTCCCTTGGCCCAAGGGACCCTACCGAGTCCTGATGCTTGTCTGCCCCCACATAGAACTGCACCGAGGCTCTCCCCACTGCCTCAGCACCCTAAACTGGATGATGTGCCCGCCAATGATACTGCTTCCTGCCAGCCTTGCCCACCGGCAGCTAATCTTCAACAGGGCAGGTTTGGATTTGGGTTACTGATTTGTCCGATCCTTGGGACTAAAGCAGTGTCTGCTACACCGTGTACTTCAGTTAAATTCCACAGATTACACACGGGGCCACACGGTGGCTGAGAGCACCGAGGGGTCCGGGTGCTCAAAGGCCCCAAGCAGAGCTTTGAGGAGCACACACCCTAACTCTGTTTCAGCCATGTACAAATCCTGACATTCAAAGGACCCCTGAGGTTCAGTCAGTCAAGACACGAAGAAAATCAGAAATGCCTGGCATTTACTGCAACTGCACGCACCCAAGAGACGGCGACTCTCACCACCATGTAAAGGCTGTGACCTCATCTACCTGAAAACTACAAATGCAAGTATAAAGTCTAGAGAAAAGCATAACGTGTCAATGTGGAAAACCAAATGTTCCGTGGAGACTCCCAGTCTGCGGTTAATGGCGCTTTGCTTTTTCATAGACGTCAACTACAAATCAATCAGTCAATCAATCAAACAAACAAAAACCCCACAAACTCCTTTCTTTGCCCTCATTCACCTTTCTCTTGTCCTCCGCAGAACTCACAGCTGTTCAGTCTCTTGGGATGGTATCTCCAAGCCCACCCTCCACCCCTCATCACCCATGGTCATCCCTGTACCTGAATATGTTGGTGGCTGGGGTGGTTTCCGTGTTAAACTCGGCCACTGGGACACCCCGGGAAGCCACCTGAGGGGCAAACATGGCAGCTGGGTAGACCACAGAGGACGTCCCCACCTGCAAAGCAAGCGGACAATGGCTGCACTAGGTGGAGATGACACAACAGGGAAACTTGTCAGGAGGTGTGAGGAAAGCTTAGCTGTGATGGAAAATGCAGTGTGGAGGCAAGCGAGAGACATCTCTTGTCTGGTGTTTGGCCAGTCCTCGGAAGTGGGGGAGAACACGTGACAGACAAGGACAGTTACACAAGTGGACAGAGAAGCACAGAAATGACCCAAAGGGCATGACTCTGCGGTTACTTTTCTTCTGGTCTTTAAAGTTGTGCAAATGTGTTCTTTTCCTAAGGTGGGAAGTAACCGCTGATAACCTTTTGGCCGGCACGAACACCCCTCACAGGAATGGAAAGGCCAGAACACGTTTTGTAAAGCTGGTTTCTCCACGGATGACCATCGTGACCACAGAGGCTGCCCTCCACATGGGATGTATGGAGTAAATCCAGAATGGAAATAGACCTGCCACAAAGTGCCTCTGCTTCTAATGACATAGTAAAGAAACTGTGAAGCCTGCGTGCTCCTCCCAGCTAATTCCACTTTTAGGGAATGCGTCCTAAGGGAACTGCTTGAGGAACGTGTTAAGATTCCCATCCCTGAGTATTCCTGCAACACTGCTTAAACTACCAGGATCTGAGACAACCTGGGTGAGGGGCACATGCCTGTTATCCTAGCATGCGGGAGGCAGAGGCAGGAAGATGAAGAATTCAAGTCTGGCTTTGGCTATACAATGACGGATACCCTCCTGGGCTATATTAGATGTTATTAAAAAAAAAAAAAAAACTGAAACAGCCCAAATGTCCCACAATAGGATTTTCTCACCATCTCACCTGTATACCAGAAAAATCGTGCAGTAAACTGAAAGACGTGGCAGCTTTGGTTATGTTGATAGGAATATGCCAATTGAATTATATGAATAAAGCAGTCTCAAGACAGAATGTGTATCATGTGTATTATATATCTATACACACACACACACACACATCTACATAAAGGAGGGTTTAGGTCAGAAGTGGCCAAGTTTTTGGAGAAAAAAGCCATACAGTAAAACTGTTAGGCTCTCGAGACCATCCAGTCTCTGCCACCAGGACTAAACTCTGATATTGTGGCACAAAAGCAGCCACAGACAGTGTGCGGAACAGCAGTGGTTCTAACACAGCCATTCAGAAAACAGGGTGCAGACTCCATGCATCCAGAGGCTACAGTTCATTTGCTTCTGGTCTGGAAGAAAAAAAAAAAAATCAAAACGCTACCGGTGATTATTTCCAAGATGGTATAATGCAGTGATTTCTAATTTCCTCCTTATGCTTTGCTTTGTGCACATTTTATCAATGGCATTTAGCAATGAGCGTTCATTCTATTTAAAGTCTAAGCCAGGGCTGACGAGATGGCTCAGCAGGTAAAGGAGCTTGCTGTAAAAGCCTGGCAACCTGAATTCTGCCCTTAGAAATTACGTATAAGTGGAAGGAAAGAACTGACGCCACAAAGTTGTCCTCTGGCCTCCAAAGGCGCGTGTGGCACATTCACACACAAACATCACGCATACACATTATGATATGTAAATAACTAAAAACTGACGCTCCCCCCAGTGATGTTATGTCTATAAATTTATACTGCTCTAAAAAAAAAAAAAAAGCATGCTCCTTTTGTTGTTTTATGGGGGAAGAGAGGTTTTTAAAGATGCTCAGAACATGGCTGTGCAAAGTTACTTTTTATAAAGATTTTATTTTATGCATGAGTGTTTCTATCTGCATGTGTGCCCGCATGCCAGAAGAGGGCAGCAGATTCCAGTTGGGAGCCACCATGTGGTTGTTGGGAATTGAACTCAGGATCTCTTGGGAAGCAGACAGCACTGTTATTGGCAGAGCCATCTCTCCAGCCCCCAAAGTTTCATAGTTTACGATCATCTTGAGGCTAGAGCAGCCTCAATGCTTGGCAGCTCAGTGGTTACTGACAGTTGCGGCTCTTCCTGATGACACAGGCTCAGTCCCCAGCACCCATGCCAGGTGGCTTACAACTGTTTGTAACTCCAGGAAACCCAAAGCCCCTGGCCTCTGAGGACACTGAACTCGTGTGCACAGATACACATGCAGATACACATACCGAAACATCATAAAAAATGACAAGAGCTTTTAAAAAGATGAGTTCTTGTCTATTGCTTCTTGGTTTCCCGGCACAACATTATGACGCTTCCACACACGCCTTTCAGAGAGGGGAGAGGGGAGGGAGTGAAGGAGCAAGGAGGAAGAGGGCTGGAAAGACAAGGAAGAAGGAAAGACGTTGGGAACCAGACACTCCACCCAACTCTCCAGAGCCTGAAAGAGGGGCAGGTGCAACCTACCACTAGACACAGGTCACAGAGGGCGAGCTCCTTGTCTACTTTGTCCAAGACAGCAGGATCCAGGTTTTCTCCGAACCACACCACATGAGGTCGCAGCAAGCCCCCGCATCCTGCCTCCTCGCACCTGGAAGAGGGTCATCCTTAAAGTGTCTCTAACGGATTGGGCCAGGATGGCCTGGATCCCAGCCTGGGGTGTGGGCACCCAGGTGACTTTGCCCTATTAAGTTCTTATCTTGTCTTCATCCACTGAGACACTATTTGAGCTAAGTTTGACCTAGCTCTAAAGCTTATTTCTCTCCCTGGTTAATGCACTCATTGGCACAAACATACTCCCATTGCCCAGCTGCAACAGCAGCTCCAAGCTGGCCCCAGCATCTGAGCCAACGATTTCCACCAATGACCTCCTTTTCCTTTTTCAGATCAGTTCTCTCTTGAGACTGGTCTACAGCCAAGTTCTTAGTGCCTAGTTCTCGCTCTTCCGCCTCGCTCTGCCTCTAGCTGGAACTTGGAGCTCTGCATGAGGCAGAGCAGGAGTTCTACAAACAGGCTGCTTCCCTGGGTTCCTTTTTGACTTTTGACTTTGAAGACAGTTTTGCTAAATTGCCCCAGCTGACCCTGAACACACTTGTGGGCTGGCTAGCCATGAATTTGTGATCCTTCTGCCTCAACCTTCTGAATAGCAGGGATTACAAGCCTGTGCCACCAGGCAGTGGTGGCACACACTTTTCATCTCAGCAGTCAGCAGAGGCAGGCAGATCTCTGTGAGTTCGAGGCCAGCCTGGTCTACTGAGTGAGTTCCGTGCTTAAAATAAACCAAGTAAGTATCAATGGAGCATAAGCACTTTTTAGAAAGCATTTCGGGGCTGGAGTGACGGCTCGGTGGTGAAGAGCACATACAGCTCTTGCAGAGGACCCTAGCTAGTCTGGTGGCTCACAACCATCTGGGACTCAAGCTTAAGGGAGTCCAAACGCCTCTGACCTTCAAGGGCACTGCATTACAGGTGTACATACCCAGCATGCAGGCATGCACGCGTAGACATGGCTTTAAGAGTGAAACCCTTTGCTTGTTCTTTGTTTTGTTTTTAGCTGCAAGGCTTGGCTGCCTCGTTCTGTGCATGTGCACCCATCCACCCGTGTGCTGCGCTTGCCTGAGCATGCGCGCGTGTGGAGCTCAGGGCTCGAGGCTATCTGCCCCTATTTATTGCTCTCCGTATCGTTTGTTGAGATGGGGTCTCTCATTGAACCTGGAGGTTGCTGTTTTGGCTAGACTGGCTGTCCAGCAGGTGCCAGGGATCTGCCTGTCAGCACTGGGGTTACAGGCACTGGGGGCGATGCCTCGTTCTGCCGGGAGTCTTGAGAATCCACACATCGGTTCTCTTGCTTGCCTAGCAAGCACTTTACCTAATGATATCCCCCAAGAAATACTCTGTGGAAGCACTGTTTTCAAGATCTGGTTTTTAAAAACTGACAATTTAAAAATCTAATGTCCTTTATAACATACAGAAATATATTTTAAGCAGCTTGGATTTATTTATTTTATGTGTATGGGTGTTTTCATTGCACTTAAGCATGTGCGTCACGGCATGCAGTGCACTCAAGGCCAGGATCGAACGTCAGATCCCCTGGAACTAGGCTTACAGGTGGTTGGGAGCTGTCAAGTGGGTGCTGGGAATTGAGCCTGGGTTCTCTGGAAGGGCAGCTAGTGCTCTTAAGAACTGGACCATCTCTCTAAGCTGCAACTTTTTTAGTTCTGTAATTTTACCTTTGCAATCTCCTCATTCTTGGACAGGGAGTCATACTGAGGATGAGGAATGTAAAAGGAACTTTTATTCACCTGTTTATTGTCTTGGAGGCATACTTCCTCCGTCTGCTAACCTAGGCCTAGTCCTGGAAGCTTCTAGCCTCCATACAATCTAACCTAGCCCCAGAATGTTTTCAGCTTCTGAGACTTGCTGCTTAGTAAGCTCACCCTTACTTGTTCTTACTGAGGCTGGGCTGGCTGATTCAATCCAGCTGTTCTGACTCAAACTCCTCTCACAGCTGACTTATTCAATCTGGCTTTTCTCTCAATCTCTGGATTGCTCTGCTTGGCCTCAAACTAACTCCAGCAATCTGTTCTTCTCTCCTGGCTCATTTGGTCTTCACCTGATTCTAGCCTGTTCTCTCTGTAACCTCTCTATTACTGTCCCAGTAAAAGCTATCACCTCTCTCCTCATTCTCTGTGTTGCTCCCTTAAATAGCTTCCCTTTCTCTGTTCTCATAGAGTTGGGCATATCCTATTCTGTCAAATCTTTCTCTGATTTTTCACTTTTTCTGCCACTCAATTAGACATCACTTTCAAACATGGGTGCTTCCTTCTACAAACTAACTTTACCATCATTGTTTGGGATTAAAGGTGTGTATCACCATGAGTGGACCTAAACTTTTATTTACCTAATGCTGGCTCTATACCAGGCTGGCCTTGAACTCAGTTCTGCTTGCCTCTGGCTCCTGGATTAAAGGTGTGTTTATATTCCAGCTGGATCACACAGACCTAGAAGGTCTTTGGATGGGATCTCTTGCTAGAACAGCCATGTTCTGAATTAAAATTCCTCTACAGAAGAGGAAGGCTACTCACTAATGAGACTATAATATTCTATAATTATAATTATGTGTTTCCTGTGCATAGACCAACATCTGTCGCATAACTGCTTCAGAAACTTCTCAGAACCCAAGGGATCTGTTAGGACTCAGAGAATGAGAGGAAGAGAGAGAAAGAGAGAGAGAGATCAAAGTCGTGCAGTGTATTTGTAGCTACTTAGGGACCTGAGCCCAGGAGTTTGAGGCTAGCCTGGGCAACATAGAAACTAGCTAAGTAAAAAGGACCTGGAAGATGTTTCAGCTTTTGTCCTTCCTCACCTGAGGGATGATGGCTGCATCTGTACACCTAAAAGGCATCTCGAAAGAAAGAAAGAAAGAAAGAAAGAAAGAAAGAAAGAAAGAAAGAAAGAAAGAAAGAAAGAGCTTAGATTTTAAATTCTAATTTTTTATACTTTTTAACTTTATTTTATGAACATTGGTGTTCTGCTGCATGTATGTCTCTATGAGGGTATCCAAGCCCCTAGAACTGCAATTATAGACAGTTGTGAACTGCCATGTGGGTGCTGGGAATAGAACTTTTGGATGAGCAGCCAGTGACTCTTAACTATGGAGCATCTCTCCAGCCCTCCTTTTCTTCAATCTTGAACACCAGATATATATCAGTTTGTTTTTTTTTTTTTTTTTTTTACCTACCGGGGAAGTTTGTCGACTGGGATTCTGGCATCTTGAGTTTCCGGTTCTGGGGCCCTGAAGTAAACAGTGTTAAAGAGAATGAATGCCGGGGTAAAGTCACAGAGCAGAAGAAGAGCATGACATAGTTTGTGTGTTTGCCTGGTATATGGTACAAAGCTTGCTCATGCATGCCAACTTAAGGGATTAGCCTTAAATACTGACTATTGGTTTTGCTTCAAGAGGGAATTTGTATAGGGGAGTGTGATTGGGGTAAGTCTGATGCTTCTTTAGTGAAATCATCTTAGTATTTTTCTTCTATGAGTTTATGCTGCTCTGAAATGGCCCAGAAGATATTTTTTTCTCAGTAGTTTGGGTTGACTCCTAAATTTTTCCTAATTATAACATTAATACACATTTGTTATGAAAGTGTTGGAAAGTTCCCAATGAAATGAAGGAGAATTAAATTACCCATAATCTCCCCATTCCTCGCTGTCACAGCTACTCCTTTCTTGTGCACGCTTGTGGTCTTTTAGCTAATGTTCAGATAAGTGAAGACAGAGTGTGAAGTTGTCTAAATAAAACTTTGGGATCACACAGCAAACACTGTGGCATCTTACAGTTTTTACTCAGCATGGCAAATTACGAGTCAAACATTTCTTTCATCAGGTATCAGTACAGTGTCCAGTCTTCTGCTTTAGAAATAGCCATAAGAATCTTCAATGAACATTTAATTTAACTTCCTCACATTCATGCTCAATTCAAGAAGAAATGACATTTATTCTGCAGTATGATATAATTACCCTTTTCCAGCTAAAGCTGGACATATTGGACTCTTGTAGTTCTCAGCAACAGCACCACACGAGGTACACCGAGTTTTAAATAGTGTTCCTGAAAGAAAAGACACGTACAGAGCTTAGTCATTGGAGCAAAGTCTTCATGTCTGAGAGGTCAGGAAATAAGTTGTCTTCCTTTTTTTTTTTTTTTTTTTCCAAGATAGGGTTTCTCTGTGTAGTCCTGTCTGTCCTGGACTGGCTTTGTAGACCCGGCTGGCCTTGAACTCACATCAACCCAACTGCTTCTACCTCCTTGAGTGCTGGGGTTAAAGGCATGTGCCACCATACCTGGCTCCTATGTTCATTTTTAAACAGTTAGGCCTACCCTAGGAATCATGGGAAATATAAAAACATGCTGTCTTAGTCACTGTTGTATTGCTGTTGAAGAGAGCAAGGCAAGTCTTATAAAAGAAAGAATTTAGTTGTGAGCTTGCTTATAGTTTCAGAGGGCCAGCCTATTATTGTGGCAGGGGCATGATGAGAGCACGGTGGGAGGGTAGCGGGAGCTTGGTGGGGGTATGACATCATTCATGGCATTGGAACAGTCTTGATCCGAAGGCAGAGAGAGCAACACAGGCCTAACAGAGGCCTACAAGAGCTCAAAACCTACAACAAGGCCACACCTCCTAATTCTTCTCAAATAGTGCCACTCCCTGATGACTAAGCGTTCAGATATATGAGCCTAGGGAGCCATTCTTATTCAAAACACCACATGTGTGCTACTGTTTAACTCACCCAAGCCAAACACCTTCCCGGATTTCATGACCTGGAGGGGAGATAACGTCGCCAACGTCACCCAGATGACCCTGGGGTGACGTTCAGATGTAACTGGAGGGATGAGAGGAAAGCAACTGCTCAGCCTGAAGCTAAGGGTCTGAGTCCCTAACTAGGTGCTCAGTTACAAAGGGCCAGTGGGCTGGAGAGACAATGCAGCTGTTAAAGGTTTAGGCTCACACCTTAAAGTCAGTCATTTAGAGAGCCACCAAATCTCAACTTTGATTTAATAAAACCCGAGTGTCTTCTAGCAAAGAAACTCACCGAATAAGCAACTGACTTGACAAATAAAAAGGATTTCTAATAATAGCGACCATTAACAATGCATGACGGTGGCCACAGTTCAAACAGCTGCCGCAAGCTCAGGGTGCTCTGAGAAATACACCCACAGTGCGCGCAGACACTTGCAGACCGCCTGCTCTGTTTTCTTTGGGGACCACCTCTCCTCTGCCCCAAGTAGAGCTGATGGAGCTATTAATCACGCGGCAAATATAAGCTTGGCCGCAGGCTCCAGACTTGTCTATTCACAGTACGTCACTGTGTGTGTGATCCAAACGAAGCCCTCCAGATCGCGGTCTATTTTCTGAGGGGCTAGCTGTGACAGTTAAGCTTGACTGTCATCTTGATAAGCTTTATAATTACCTGGCATATGCACCTCTGGGCATGTCTGTGAAAATGTATAAAAAAAAAATGCTATCTGAGGGGAGAAAGACCAGGATGGAGGGATGGGTCAGTGGATAAGAGCAGTCAGTGTTCTTGCAGAGAATGCAAATCTGATTCTCAGCATCCACATGGTGGCTCACGAGTAGTCTGTAACTGAAGTTCCAAAAGATCTGACACCCTCTTCTGGACTCCAGGGGCATCACACACACACACACACACACACACACACACACACACACACACGGTGCATAGATATATATTCACATAAAATAAGATAAATAGCTCCTTTAGGTCTTGCCTCCAAAATGACCCAAATAAGACTAAACACCAGTAGAGCTAGAGGAGGACTGCAGCCACGTGCAGTGAGTTCATTACACACACTTTGCCCCAAGCATGCCCAAGGACAAGACGGCTGTTATTCAGAACATGGCGGAGGTTGCTACTGTCAGGGACATTTCTGAGGCAAGTGTCTTCAACATTTATGTGCTTCCCACGCTCTGTGTCAAGACGCATCACCGTGAGAGCTGTGCCATTCACAGCAAGGTGGCCAGGAATTGACTTCGGGAAGCCTGGAAGGACCAAACACTCCCACCACACCTGTGAGTGCTGACCCACGACCTCCACCAAAGCCCACGGAAAGAGCTGGCTTTAGAGAGTCAGAAGAAAAACCATCTGGGAAAAATACAGTAAAATCACAAAAAAATTAAATTAAAAAAATTATAAAGAGGGAAGAAGATCCACCTTAAATACAGGTGCCAGTATCCCACAGACTGGGGTTCTGGACGGAATGAAGAGGAGAGCTGAGGTGTGGTGGTACATCCCTTTCATCCTGGCACTCGGGAGGCAGTGGCAGGTGCACCTCTGAGTCTGAGGTCAGCCTGGTCTACTCAGTGAGTTCTAGGACAGCCAAGAGTACATAGTGAGACCCTGATGAGAGAGAGAAAGAGAAAGAGGCGGGGAGGCACTGGGGTTCAACTTTCTGCTTCCTGGGTACAACTGCAGCGGGACCAGACCCTCACCCCATGAGCCAAAATAAACCTTACCTTGTCATCTCAAACCTTGGGCCCAAATAGACATCTTCCTCTGAAGGCATTTGATCACAGTGGCAAAAAAGTAGCTATCGCAGGGAATTTTTTTTTCTTTGATAGGATGTTGCTGTGCTGCTCAGTTTGGTCCCAAGTCTAGACTCCCACCATCCTCCTGCCTCAGCCTCCCACCTCTCTGAGTATCAGCACTTAGCTTATGTACCTTAAAATCATAATGGAATTTAATGAAATGAGGGAGCTTCCTTTATTTTTACCTCAGAAAACAGTTCTCGTCATGAGTGGGTAAGCTGGCCCTGCCCCTTGCTGGCTGCAGCCCTTGAGAGAACAGGCCCTGCACCTCATCCGGGCTGCATCTCAGCCTGTATGTGAAGAAATGCATTTCTTGGGTTTGCAGCTTTGTAGACGCTGATGCTCATGGCCTTGGGCAGAAATCCACAGAGAAAAGAATCCAGAGGAGCCCGAGACACACTCCATGAACGCTACAACATGGTGAGCTTGTTACAGAAAAGGGCCTGGGCCAGCACCTCTCTCGGGCTCTAGGGTGGCTTCAGTGGCAAATTCCCTCCTGAGAACAAAGGATAAATAAACGCTCCCGGGTTAGTGAAGTCACAGGGGCCATGTCCAATCCTGCTGAGCCACAGTGGTGCTAGCACCCTGGCCTGTCGGCTTCCCTCCATGGGTTGCTGTGTCACAGCATGGCCTTCTACCACAGCAGCCCTGGGAGCAGGAGCTTGTGGCTGTGTAGACAGCGCTTTTCTAGTGGACAGGAACACCAGTAACACCCGATACTGTGCACTGGGGTTTTTGGGAGAAATGCAGGTTTTGTTTTGGTGTGTCCAGGTAGGAGTTATCTAACTGAACCCCAGGGGTGTTGACACCATTGGTTTTCAGTTCATACTCCAAATACCAGGCTGTAGGAAATAACAAGTGAGTTGTGTCAGTGGGCAAGGTGCCCCTTGTTACCAGCGAGGGGGCTTAATTCCAGTCCACCCGCCATCACGCCAGCCAGTCTGACTACATGACAAGCTTGTTTTTACCTGACTAGGCTTGAGTTTCAGTTTTGGTTTCGTTTTCTAAAAAGAAACCACAGGGAAAGGGCAGCCAATCAGAATCTGCCTCAACATCTGGCTGGGCCAGACATGGTTACATCATAGCTGCTTGTTAAAGTCCCTATGCCCCTGGCCAATCAGGATTGGCCCTGCGCCCTTGGCTGGCCACCAATTAAGGTAAAGATCACCTACTCATTCCTGGAATGCCCCTGACTGAATGCCTATAAACAGGGCCTGGGAGTCTTCACCATTTTGTCAAGGTGGTGACCCCAGCCTGCTGGAGTTCTGCCGAAAACAAATGTTCTCTGATGTTTACGTACTAGGTGAGTCTGGGGTCTTTTCTTCAACAAGATCCGGACCCTAACGCCAGCAGGAGATCTTCAGGTACTAACAGGCACCAATGTGTCCCTCAGGGAAGCACCACAGCATCCTGGGGGATGGACAGGTGTCTAGCAGTGTAGGGTGGACAAGCTGTGTTTTAAAGCCTGGTCTCCCTCACCATGGATTTCTAGCAGGTTCTTGGTGCCAGCCTTGCGGTGCAGCTCATCGATGTTCTGGGTGATGACCACAACCCGTCGGCCCTGGTCACGTAGCCGGGCTTCGCACTGGGCAATGGCCAGGTGCCCAGGGTTGGGCTCTTTGCTCTGCATGACCTCCCTCCGGTAGTGGTAGAATTCCCACACCTGTGATGGGTTTCGGGCAAAGGCCTGAGGAGTCGCCAGGTCCTGAGGGGGGAGAGGCAGAGGTGAGAGAGGGGCCTGTGGAGGTGGAGATGGGCAGTGGTGGGTCTGGCTAGACTGTATAGCACCAGCCTAGACCCCAGTCCTCGGAACAACCCAGGACTTTAACAGGTAACCCTTCACTTCCCTCCTGATGAGGCAGAAGCAATGTAACCTACTCACTCATCTCACAAATTATGTACAGGAAGTAAAGTGACGTGTGGGAAAGGATCAGGGGTTGAGTTTACTCTCATGGAGCTCTGAGAAATAGGAAGTCAATTTCATCGTGAGGGATCTCCAAGAAAAACATGAAATGAAAACTGCCCCAGGAAAATACATCAAAAAGGAGCTCAGACATACAACTACACACATACGGGCACACACACACACACACACACACACACTCATACCTACTCACAACTAAAAATATAGCAATACAAGAACACAGCACAAACTATACACACACACACACAGAACATACCTACACACAACTAAAAACAGCACATACAAACACACAGACACAACTATATCTACACAACTACATATAGTTCTATGTATTGTGCACAAACTACACATATGTGCATGCACATACACAGAGATATACCCATTCATATAAACCCTACCCATACACATGCATAGACACAATTATGTATACTCATGATTACATGTATTTATGCTAAAACTACACATAGATATTTGCATACACACCACTGCATGCATACAGACAGCTACATGTATATAAGTATACTTAAGCTACTCATGTGCATAGATACGTGTAACTACATATTACATTCTTATATGAATATGCACACATACAATTACATGGGTGTAGCTACATGTTCTTTTGGGGGGTTGGGTTTCTTGAGACAGGGTTTTTCTGTGTAGCCCTGGCTGTCCTGGATTTACTCTGTAGACCAGGCTGGCCTGGAACTCAGCAGAAATCTGCCTGCCTCTGCCTCCCCGAGTGCTGGGGTCACAGTCGTGCGTCACTGCACCCGGCTGTAGCTACATGTTCCAACACGCAGGCTACACATGTATAGATGCTTATACAAAAACACACAATATTTTTAGCTATTTACAAATGGCTACATGTACTTAGAAGTACACATGTATACATACTACAACTAAACACAAACATTTAGTTACATGTACTGAATCGTGAACACACATGCATACAGCAACATAGATACATGTTACATCTACTTACACACTACACACATGAAGGAAGGTCAGGAGAACTCGGGCCACTCTGGAAAACATGGCCTGGCCCCTTTAAGAAAGGCTTGTCCATTCTTGGGAAGGGAAGTAGTCTCTGTCTCTGTCTCTGTCTATCTCTCTCTGTTATACACACACACACACACACACACACACACACACACACACACACACACAGACATACTCACGACTGACACGGGGGAAGGCTCCCAGGAAAAATCCAACCTAGAGCTCTGGCAGACTCCCATCGCCAGGGCCCTCCCGTGCCCTCCGTGGGAGCTGTTTGTTCTAATAAAGTTGGCTCCTTTCGTGGGTTTTTCTCTTTGTGGCTGCTCTTTCTTGTTCAGCTTCCATCTGTAACTTACTTTCACTGTCACCTGCCCTCAGGGTGATAACTCACTTTTCCTCTGGAACCACTGGGGTCTCTACTTTACTCTGGGGCAGGGCAGGGCAGTCCCTGCCTCAGACCCGCTGCCACACTGTCAGTGGCTTTTCTCCCTCTCCCTGTTACTTCACTTTCCTGTCTGAGGGAGTCTCTCCAGAACATACAATTCTCTATCTGTCCCATGGGATGAACTCGGTGGTACCCCTAGATGAGCGCTCCTCCCTCACCCAAGACACCAATCACACATGTCCCTGAATCCACACAGCTATACATACTTACAAACTACATACATAAATGCCATACACATGAAAACACCATCTATTAACCAAATACATGAAACATCTGTACTTAAGGCATTAGCCCTCTTTCACGACAGACAGTTCTTTCCTGTGACAGAAGCTCAGCACAGCTGTCTAGGCTGGAAGCAGACAGGAAGGGCACAAGGAAGCTCTTAACAGTCACGGAAATGTTCCACATCCTGCCCCGTGTCACCCCAGGTCCCCACTCAGATGTCCACACAACAAGTGGGTTTGTTGTCATCTATGTTAATTTTGAAGAAAAGCACGTCAAAGATGCCCCGCTCACATGAACGCACCCTCACCCAGGCAGGGAAAGTAGCCTTCCCTTTGAAAGTGCATGGCAGGTGCAGTGGGTGGCCCTCGGGGACCCTGGGCGCCTTCTAGGACACCCTGGCCCGGAGCACCTGCGCACTAACTTATGAACCGTGAGCACACACATGGGCCCTTGGGGAGGAGTTGGAGTCAGATATGCCCTCCGACCTCTCTGCTTACTGGCATAGTCTGAGCTTCCTCTGACACTACAGCAGCCCTACCCAGCCCTTCCTGCCACCTGCTGCTGCTCCCCCGGGTTGCCTCTGGGGCCCCTTCTTCCTTCCTGGATGCTAGGGGCCCTCTACTCCCTTCTCCCCTTGTAGGCCTGAGGAGTGCTTCAGTGTTTAGAAGGACGGGAAGGACAGCGCATGCCCTCTGCACTCAATGAGAAAGCCCTGTGAACTCTGAGAGGCTCCCACTGAGGTGGTTAATTTTGCCCTTCTTCAGCCAGCTGGAACATACAAAGCCTGAGTCCTGTGCCAGCGTACTGGGGCTGGGAGCCTCACAATGGATATGACCCAGGAAGTGCCCTGCTCTCTAAAACTAGGTATTTCCAGAATGGGAGAGATGGCATGGTAGTTAAGAGGGCCCAAGCACGGGTCCTAGAGCCCACATTAGGCTGCTCACAATTGTCTATAACTCCAGCAGCAGAAGAAATAACGTTCTCATCTAGCCTCTGAGGGAACCCCCCCAAACACACATAGTTAAAAATAAAAATGAAATAAATATTTAAAACTAAGGATTTCCCAAGCTGGGGAGATGGGAGGGAACAAGAGAAGGCAAAGGACCATCCATAAAGAGATATTCTGAATAAACAGTGCTATAGTTTGGACATGGAGTATTTTCTAAAGGCCCAGCTGTTGGAGGTACGGTTCCCAGCTTGGCACATGTGAAAAGGTGGGGTCTAACAGGAGAGTTTAGGTCACTGGGAATAATGTGAAGAAGACGGTGAGGGGTCCTTGTCCTTCATCCTTTCCTTCTAAGCCATGAGGTGAACAGTCTCAATGATTCATCCATGCTTCCTGCCCTGACATACTTTCTCATCACAGGCCCAAAAGCAACAAGGCCAATGGATTGTAGAGTAAGAGTTCCAAACTTTGAGTCAAAATTGACGTACTCTCTTTATAATCCTCAACATCCCAGATGCCGGTTATAGGAACAGAAAGCATTTATATATGTGTAGTCTGTAGGTAAGTGCATGTAGCGTGTGTAGCTGTGTATATGTGCATGTATATATGTGTGGTTTACAAGCACCTACAGATGTGTATATGTGTGCAGTGGTTAGTTATCAACTTGCCACAAACTAGAGTCATCCGAGAGGAGTCAGCTGAGGACCTGCCTCCATCAGATTGGCTTAGAGGCAAGACCGTAGGGCATTTTCCTGATTAAGCACTGATGGGGAAGAGCCCAGCCCACTGGGTGCGGTGCCACCCCTGGGCCGCTGAATTCCCCCATGGCCTCTGCATCAGTTCCTGCCTCCAGGCTCCTGCCTTGAGCTCTGGCTTTGACTTTCCTCAGTGAAGAACTGTGCCCTGAGGACTGTAAGAGGAAATGAACCCTTGACTTCCTCAAGTTGCATTTTGGTCTCGGTCTTCGTCATAGCAATAGAAACCTAACCAGGACAGCATATGACATAGAAATGTTATAGCCATGATGTTCATGATACAGCTTTACCCATCTGCAAAACCTCACTGAGTTCTATGCCAAAAACGGGTAAATATGTCTGTATGTATATTTTAACAAAAGCTGAAAAATAAAACAACAAACCAACCAAGCAGGAGCTGGAGAGGTGACCCAGTGGTTAAGAACACTTGCGTCTCTCGCAGAGAACCCAAGTACAGTTCTTGCCAGCCACACTAGGTGGCTCACAACTGCCTGTAGCTCTAGCTCTGGGGTTCCAGCACCCTCTTCTGGCTTCTTTGGGAACCCACACATATGTGCATATAACCACACACAGATACACACACATATTACATAAATTAAATAAAAAATCTTTAAAAAATCAAATCCATTCATCCTCATAGAACTTATATTATAATGCCCTTCATATAACTGTTTAAACACCAAGCTCCAAGCCCTCAACAGGTTTCACAGAAATTATACAATGCTTAATCCTTAATTCCAATTATCTTTACATATTTATAGCTAACTTCATAGTTTTGAGTTGTGGTAACCAAGGTTTTCTGATTCTACTTTAATGCAATTCCTAGAAGAATCAAATTGTTATTAAAAAGAAAGAAAAGAAAAGTTGCAATCTTTTTATATCCAGAGGGTGAGGAAAGTGTCTGCTTTGCTCAGGTGTGAGAGCCTCCACGAGACACTCCCCCAGAGGGGAAGGAGAGGCTCCAAGGCCTCAGGTGGTGAACAGGAGGTAAACAGAAGGTCCCATGTCCTAGACAACAAAAACCTGACAGCTTCCTGAGGACCCCAACCTCAGAATGGAAAGGAGGACTCCACTGCTGTGAGGTGAGGCAGGCGCTCTGGGGTCCTCTACGCCGCTGTCACAGGGTTGGGCGGTCCTCACACAGGCTGAGGAAGGCTTCCCAGTGACGCGGCTGCTGTTGAGTTGCTCCTCTCACTCCTTCACCTTTGGTCTGTCGTGGGCTTCCTTCCTGGGGTGAAGTGTGTGTGTGCCTTTCATACACATAAGCATGCAGATGTGCACATCTGTACATGAGTGTTCAGAAGCCAGAGAAGAACACTGGGCGTCTTCCTGTTGCTGTCTGCCTTATTCCCTTGAGACACAGTCTCTCGGTGAACCTGAAGTTTGCCATTTAGGCCGGAAGAACAGCAGCTTCCAGGATTCTCATCTCCACTTCTCAGTGCTGGGTTGAACTCTTTATGTAGGCGCCGGGATTCAAACCCAGGCCCTCATGCTTGCTCCTTGCACTGCACGTGTTCTTACGTACTGAACCCATCTCCCTGACCCCACGTTTGCTACCACAGTCATCACAGAGATGTGTGGACAACCAAAACCAAGAGGACAAAATGGTCGCTGCCATTTCAAAGGCTGCCGCCTGGGCTTCAGGCATATGTACGGGTGCGGAATCAAACTCAATAATGGCTACGTTAGGAAAAGCCTTTGGTATTCTGGAAGCCTTACTAACCTGAGCTTGCCATTTTCTCCAGTAACCTCCAGCTCCTCTGAAGGTTGGAACCCCACTCTCCGCACTAACGCCGGCCCCCGAGATGATGGCTATGTGCTTTGCATTTGCAAAACACTTCCGAAAATCCGCCATATCTAAACAGAAAACAAAATCTGTGTCAATCCAGAGCACCAACTGGACCTGGACATTCCACATCAGCTGTCGATGGCGTGAACCTTGACACTGAATGAAATTACACCGTAAGATACTTCCAACAGGGGCTGAAGAGATGGCTCAGCAATCAAGAACACTTGTTGCTCTTGCAGGGGACAGGGGTTTGGGTCCCAGCACCCACATGGGAGTTCACGACCATCTGTAACTCCAGTTCTGGAGCATCTGGTGCCTTCTTCAGACCTCTTCGGGCACCAGGCGTACACATGCATACATACTGGCAAACACTCATACACATTAAATAAGTAAATCTTAAAAAAAAAAAAAAAAAAGATTTAAGGTATCCCAATAACAAGCATTCCTCAGGGCTGGTAACATGGCTCAAAGAGTGATGGCACCTGACACCAAGCCTGATGGTCTGAGTTCAATCCCTGGAAGCCAAGAGGTGGTAGAACAGACTTCTACACGTTGTCCTCTGACCTACACACACACCATGGCGCACACATGTCCCTCTCCCTTAAATAAATAAATGTTTAAAGAACAACCCCTGTACAATGAAGACATCAGCTTGTACATTTGATCGGTGGGTACAAGGTAACTCAAGGAAATGAGGGCTTTGGGACACACCTAGCATGGCACCTCAGCTCCACCTTCCATGCCTCTGTGTGATCTAATGTGCTCATTCTCGGCATCCTTGATTCTCTAGGCTGCTTGGTGTGCGTGAGACACCTGCTGCAGAACACAGATGTGCAAATGTGGAAGGGTTGATGGATCCAAATTTCCTGTGGACAGTCAGGACAAAGCCTTTGTGATTGTAACCAAGCTGAACCGAGGCCTATGAGATACCAAACACCTAGAATTCTCCTCATATTCACTTGCCCTGTGAAAATCATGCCAAAGCTCCTTCAGCACGGTGACCAACACTGACATTCATTTACAAGGATGACTTACTTGAACTTGGACGAGCCATGGTGAGGCAGATCTTGCTTTGTGAGGAGGGTGAAGGCTTCAGTCTACAACACAGCTGGGAAATGAATCGGCTTGGAACAGTCTGGAGCGGTCGCATCAGGTTTTCTTTGAAGTATTACTCCAGGCTGGATTTAGAAAAGCTATGAAACAACATAGAAACAATCATAAAACATTCAAACGCGTAACGTGTCTTTATCGTGTTAGAGATGTTGTGACGTGTATATACGTACAAACATTTGCTACTTGGCTCAAGATAACGAGTCCTGTACAGGCACAGGCACAGTGGCACACACCTGTAGTCCCAGCACCCGGGGAGGCAGAGGCAGGTAGATCTTGGGTAGTTTGAGGCCAGCCTGCTCTACAAAGCAAGTCCAGGACAGCCAGAGAAACACTGTCTCGAAAAAATAAAACAAAACAAAACAAAAAACTAAAAAACAGTTAACTAGTTCTAAGTAGAAAAAAAAATCTCATAAATATACTCAGCCAGTAGAACAGTTGTTAGTCTAAACTATCTTGTATGTGCTCACAATAGCACTTAATGTGAAATCTGTGTTAAAATATCAAACATCTCACAATTTCTAATTTTATTTTTTGAAACAGAGCCTGTTCTCTGGTCCTATGTATTACGGGGTAACCTTGAATAATATTCCTCCTATCGCGAACCTCCCAAAGCCTGAGATTACAAGCCTGTATTCCACCCTGCTGAGAGAAATATTCTTTAAGCTTTGGGGATAGATGAAACCTGGGGCTTTGCTTATACTAGGCCTCTGGAGCTATACCCCAGATCCTTCTCTTGTGATTTATTGAACCATTGCAGTGGTGAAGCTAAACACCCCTGAGTGAGCGAGCTCATGGTGAATAAGGCACTGGACTGGTAAAAATAATCCTAATGTGATGGAGGCAGGAAGATTGGGAGTTCAAAGTCATCCTCAGGCTTGGGGGGAGTCCTGGAGCTCTGTAGGCCAAGACAGCCCCTATCTCTGAACTCACAGAGATCTGCCTGCTTCTGCCTCCCTGTGCAATCACTGCCAGGCTGCCCCTGGGTAAACTTGATGGCCACTTGGAATCACTGTTGTAGAGACTTGGGAAGGTGTTAAATGTGAGGGTTGCGTGTGTATGTCTGTACATGTGTGGTACTTGTGCACTCACATGTGCAAGCACGGAGACCAGAGGACAACTTAAGGCACCACTCCTCAGAAGCAGAGTGATTTTTGAAAACTGATGAGGCAGGGACCACGCGTACTGCCACAACAAATAAGATGTGGGTGATAACGTGTCAACGAAATTGTAAGTTGTGAGGCACGTTTAGTAAATGTCTGTAGGTTTGTGAGAAGGAAGCAGTGACAAAGAATGCCAGCACTGGGCTGGGCATGGTGGCAAGTCCTGAGGCCCCAGCACTCAAGAGGCTGGAGGCAGGAGGACTGCCACCAGTCCAAAGCCAGCCTGCTCGTCATAGCGAGCTCTAGGTCAGCTTAGTCTACACAGCAAGACCCTGTCTCAAAGAGAGAGCAGGAGAGAGTGGGGATGGAGAGAGAGAGAGACAACAGTAGGATCAACCCAAGATGACTTAGCTACAGACATTAGAGAACTGAGGGTTGATAGAAGAGCCTAGAAAAAGCCCAAATCCTCCATCTATAGGAACAAGTTCAATCAGCAAGGAAACTGTCACAGTATGCAATATGCTTGGTATTCACAAAGAATTCGAGGCTGGGAGAGGTTGAGTCTGTCAGCTTCCCACCACGCAAGGGTGACGACCCAAGTTTGACCCTCCAGAACTCATAGAAAACCATGGTGTGGCAGTCCAAGCCTGTGACCCCAGCACAGAGGGTAGTGGGCACAGGGAGAAAGGGCTAGAAATGGCTGGTCAGCCAGCTGGTCTAGCCAAATCCACAAGCTCAAGATTCATTGAGAAACCCTGTCTTCAAAAACAAAGGGACAATGAGGAGGTGCTTGCCACCAAGCCTGATGACCTGAGTTTGATCCCTGGAACCCACACAACAGAACAAGGGAATTGATTCCTCAACTAGCTGTCTCCTGATCTACTCAGTGAGCTGAGGTGTGAACACTCAGCCCTACACACAAATAAATGTTCAAAAACATAAAATAAGATACAGCACTAGAGGAAGACAACTAAATATGGCCTCTGGCCTCCACATGCATGGGTATCTTTGTGCAGGCATGCTTGTATACATACTATGTACATATATATTCATTTACATACACAGAACTTTTTGTAAAGAATTCATTATTTTACTGTGACATTCCAAAATAAACACAAATGATATCTGTAGATGGGGCCTTTCATACATCTGAGATCATGAGGGAAGGAGAGGAAGTACAAAAGAGAGTAATGAATGTGTCCTTTGTCCTGTGTCCCGATCATGGTAGCAGTTACACGGCAATGTCTATCAGAACTTACAGAACTCTATACTCAAAGAGAGTTAATTTTACTAGATTAGAGGTTTAAAAGTTAACGGGTAAAAGGTTTCAGTTTTATAAGCTGGAAAAAGCTCTGGGGAAGACTGTCCTGGCCACCGACCTTAACTGCACAGCCGTTTTAAAATGGTTAGGATTGTGTGATGGTTATCTTCATTGTCAACTTGACTCCATGGAGCTCACCTTGGAAACCCACCTCTGAGATCACCTATGAGGGTGCTTCTGGGACGGTTTAATTGAGGAGGGAAGACCCACCCTGAAAGTGGGTGGCATCATCCCACAGGTTGGGGTCCTGGATTGAATCAAAACCAGAAAGCTAGCCTGGCACTGACATGCATTCTCTCTGCTTCCGGTCTGCTGATGCAGTGTGAACTGGCTGCCTCATGATCCTGTCGCCACGCCTTGCCTGCCATGGTGGCTCATCCCCTCAAACTGTAAGCCAAAATAAGCCCTTCCTTCTGTAAGTTGCTTTGGCCTGGTATTTAATCACAGTGATGAGGAAAGAAACTAATGGTAAACTGTATGTTCTGTATTTTTTGACCAGGTGTGTTTTTTGGGTTTTTGTTGTTTTTTGGGGGGTTTTTTTTGGCAGGGGATTGAGACAGGGTTTCTCTACATAACCTTGGCTATCCTGGAACTTGCTCTGTAGACCAGGCTTGCCCTAAACTTGCAGAGATCTGCCTGCTTCGGCCTCCCTGCCGCTGGGATTAAAGGTGTGCACCACCATTGCCAAGGTATAACCAGCTTTTAAAAGCCAGAATGACAGAGTTTTAGGTCATCTGGCAGGGATCATCAGAACACATTGTTGGAGGGAAAAGGTTAATTAATACTCTGTGAGAGATAGGAAATGACAAGAATTTGGTACTTACTAGGATATTTATTTTAAAAGAGAAGCCAAGTGATGGTGGCGCACACCTTTGATCCTGGCACTATGAGGCAGAGGCAGTCAGATCTCTATGAGTTCAAGGCCAGCCTGGTCGACAGAGTGACTCCAGGGCAGCCAAGGTTACACAGAGAAACCCTGTCTCAAAAAAAAAAATCCACAAGAACTTAGTGAAAGAATTGGATGTGGGTGGGAAACAGTGTTTATGGAGATATGAATAGAAGCCAGGGTTTCAATATCTATGTGAATCCCTTGTGTGGACTGTCAGTGTCTTCCAGGTAGCACAAATCAGAGAGAGAACTTGAAGGGTGTTAATTGTGAAATATTTTTATTTTTATTTACATTTATTTATTTCATGTGCATGAATGTTTTGCTTGCATGCATGTATTTGTGTTTGCCACATGTGTGTCTGGTGCCTGAGGTGTTCAGAGGAGGGTGCCATGTTCCCTGGAACTGGAGTTATGGATGACTGAAAGCCGCCATGTGGATGCTGGGAACCGAACCTGGGTCTCTACAAGAACAAGTGCTCTTAACCTCCATGCCATCTTTCCAGCCCAGTTTTTCAGGGATGAAGGAGCAGCTTCATGGAAGATTGCTTGCCCAGCACACCGAAGGCTGGTGGTTCTATGAGAACTGCAAGTGTCTCAAAGAATTAATAGGAGGGTTCTGTCTTCTATGAGGGCACTCGGAGAGGCGGGGGCACATAAGGGGGGCTGTGTTCTAGAATGGCTGCTGTGAGGAAGCAGGCTGCCTTGACTGGACATTGTAAGGGACTGTACTGAACAGGGGTAAGAGAGGTTGACCCTGTGATAGTTGGCAAACAGTAGGCTTTTGGACTCGTGGTTTAGCCAAGAATACTTAGGTGTCTGGGTTTTGTCCTGATTCATTGCTGTCACATGAAGCCTTGGCAGTGTTGGTGTTCTGTGGCATGATTTATATTTAACAGAACATCAACGCTTATCAGATAGTCCTTGGCTCCAAACAGAGGCAAATCAAATGCCCATCAACTTATAAATACATGAACAAGTCATGCTTCTTCACCCAATGAAAACTGTTCAGCAAGAAAGAGAACAAATTGCGCACACATTCAATCCTTAAATCTTGTGCAATCGCAGCTTCACCGTGGAAAATGTGGCTCCTACTACCTTGGCCAATCAAACTGGGTTAGTGCGACCAGTAAAAGACATGGCAACTTCATCCGCCTCCCACAGATGACGGAATGGGAAGGGCAAAGGTTTGCCACTGTGTGGCTTTTCTCCTAAGATACATTATGTAATTACTAGAAATAGCGCGCACGCGCACACACACACACACACACACACACACACACACACACACAGTTGAAGGGCAGTGAGGGTGACTGTCCCTGTATGTCGGTTACGCTTTAACTAGCTCCACTGACTAGGGAGATTGGCAGGGACCATGGCTCCTGCCTCTTGTGCCTGACATGGGGGCGGTGTGCTGCTGAGTGACACTGCCACCCCTGGCAGGATCTCAAACTGAAGATGGTGTGGCTCTATTTTACAGCACTCACCAGCACACCTCACATCTCAAAATCGCTGTGTTCTGTATGGCATAACAGCAATAGTCACATTTAGGCTACGAAGGGTGAAGCCTGGGAAACTGTCTCCTGCAGGTTACACACCTGAAAAATGGAACTTAATGAGACACCTTGCAAAGTGTGACCTGTGAATTAGCTGATAAGGTAGTTACACTAGTTGGTGGGGCACCTGTAAATTTCCTAACTTAGGTCACTGTCCTCCACTTAGGTAGATGTAACGTAAGGGGGAAGTGTGCAAATAATACACAGGAAGTCAGCTACGTTCGAATTATTTCTGGAAGCCTTAAACTGTTTCAACCATAGAGTTGCTGCTTTACAAAAAACAAACAAACTAACTAACAAACAAACAAAACGCCACAATGCTAGGGCTGGAGAGATGGCGCAGCATATGCTGTTCTTGCCAAGGATCCAGGTTCAATCCCCAGCACTCACGCTGTGCCTCACAACCATCTGCAACTCTAGTTCTAGCAGATCCTCTTCCGGCCCTAGGGGCACCAGGCATGCACACGGCACATACACATGTAAACAAATGCTCATATATAGAGACATGGATGAAAGACTTAGACGTACCACCTGAAGCTAACACTACAAGAAAAAAAAAAAGAGAGAGAGAGAGAGATCGAAGCTCCATGACAGTGCTTGGGCAATGATTTCTAAGCTAGGACCCCAAACACAGGGAGTAAAAGCAGAAACAAACAGGACAGTAAAGGAATCAGTAATTGACACAGTGGGAGAAAATACTTCAAAACATACATCTGATAGATGCTAATGTCTAAAATACATGGAGGGGACTGGAGAAATGGCTCAGCAGTTAATAGCACTGACGGCTTTTCCAGGGGACCAGCCCTATGGTGGTCACGACCACCGTAACTCCACTTCTAGGGAATCTAACAGCCTCTTCTACCTCCTCAGACATTTCACATATGGGGTTTGTAGGAATATATTCGGGCAAGACACCCTTAAACACAAAAAAGAATCTCAAAAAAATTTAAATAACTTAAATAAAATAAAGTATATGGGAGGCTGGTGAGACGCCTCCTAGATTAAAGGCCCTTACCACCAAGCCTGAAGACCTGAAGACTCTGGGACCTAAATATTAGAAGGAGGGAACCAACTTCTGCAAATTGTCCTCTGACCTCTACATGAGTGCCGTGTCACAATCCTGCGCGTGCGCGCACACACACACACAAACACACACGCACACACACACACACTAAAATGTGTACAACTCTCTTGCAAGGAAGCAACGTAGTTTTAGAAATGAGGAGAGCACCTGATTGGGTATTTCTCAAAAAAAGATAATTGGGGCAATGAAATCAAGCCACACCGAACTATCACCTCAACTCGGCCAGAGTGGCTATTATTAAAAAGACAAAAGCTAATGATAGCAAGGATGTGGATAAAAAGCATCTGTGATTCCCTGGGAAGGTCTGTTAGTATAGCCATTTTGGAAAACAATATGGAGACTCCTCAAAAAAATTCAAACCAGAATTGCTACCCACTCCTTGACAATCAGTGTGGGAAGAGGCATCTGCCCTTGAGTGTTACCCACAAGAAAACAATCTAGGTGTCAGTCAACAGAGGAGTTGTTGCAGGATATTTGATCATACTGTGAACCCCAAGATTGTGTTGTTTACTGGAAAAACCTGTTTCTAGTTGCGATGTGGGTCTGCCCTAGCACACACCTTTAATCCAAGGGCTTTCTGTCTGATTACTGTAAACAGGATTAAATAAAATCAACCCTAGGTCTAGAGGCAGAACCAGCAACCAGTTGGCAGGGAGTAAACATGGGGAAAAAAGCCATAGGAGTGTAAGGGGAAGTCAGGACTGATAGACACAAGGAAGCAGAAAAGAGGGACATTCAGTTTGAGGGTTTTTGAGACCAAGTGGAGAAGGAGAGCTTCCTTTAGGGGCGTCAGCTGAGTAGGAAGGTCAGCTGGGTGCTTTTTCTGCCTCTCTGAGCTAGCAGGCTTTCGCCTCCGCATCTGGCTCCCAAGTCTTTATTAGTAAAATCGAACCATTGATATTTTGTTAAAAACAACAGGAATAAAGTAAATGTAGCATATGCACACACAATGAAATATTAAGAGAAAGGATTCTTTGTCATATTTGGGACAAAAATGGATGACTCTGCTAACTAAGTAAGCAAAGCGGGCCAGGCTCAGGAGCAAATAAAAGTCACACTCACAGAATAATAGTCACCAGAGGCTGGGTGTGGGGGCAATACGGGGCATGGAGATGTTTGCCAAGGGACAGAGACTCTCAGCTAATGAGAATAAGTTTTACTGATTTATTGCATGGCACAGCAAGCATCGTTGATAATGATGCGATGGATGTTTCAAAACTTTTAGAAGCCAGGTAGTGGTGGCTCACGACATTAATCTCAGCACTCCGGAGGCAGAGACAGGCGGATCTCTGTGGGTCTGGGGCCAGCCTGGTCTACAAAGTGAGTCCAGGACAGCCAGAGCTACATAGAGAAACTCTGTCTCGGAAACAACAACAACAACAACAAAAAACTTTTAGAAAGTTTCTTATCTCTAAAAACTGGCAAGATGATAGCCATGTTAGTTTGGCTTACTCTTAATACACATAACACACACACACACACATATCAAAACACCCCAATGCACTCCAGAAATATACACAATTATCTATCAACTGAAATGCAGTTTTAAGTCATGGGACAGAGCACATGGCGACTGTACTGCAGAAACGTCCACAGGCCTTCAGTAAAGGCTCTCTGGACACCAAAAGCTCCACGAATGAGGTGAGTACAAGCCTTAGCCGCTCCATCCAGACATGTCGTCGTGGCTACCTGCCATCTAAACCTAAACGAGGTACAGCCCAGCTGGTCACCTCTCCAACACTGCGTGCCCTGCCCCCACCCTCTGAGAGTTTTCCTTTCACCCCTGCAGCTGAAGCTCCTGATCTTCACTGAGTTGAAAACCTGATTACCCCCCCCACCACCCCCACCCCCACTCCCCACACCACTCTCAAAACTTCAGGGCACCATCCTCCGGGGTCGTGGCTTGGCCTTGACCTTTCCCCATCTCTCCGCTGCCATTGTCATCAAATCCTGCGGCCTCTACCTTCAGACTGCGGCCCGATCCGACCCTTCCTGCACTCCCACCGCCACCACTACAGCCCGGCCCCTGTCACCTTAGCCAAAGTGTCCTTCCTCCGGGTCACCGCCTTCCCTGGGCCCAGCCGCTCCCCGGGGCTTCTTCCCCACCCGTCGCCCATCCCGCCACCCATCGTGTCTCGGGCGACCTCACCGGCACCTGGCCGCGCATGCGCGGTTTGAGGTGCGGGGAAGCCGGAACGAAGCCGAGACCCGCACCCCGACCCGGGACGCACCTGCAGAAGGCGGCGGGGACGGTGCTGGCAGGAGAGGCCGGGGGCGGAGCCTCCGCGTCCCGGTGTCCCGCCCCGGCTGCAGCGGCCCCTGCCGGAGAGCGGAGAGCGGCCCAGGCCGGGGCTCAGCTTCGGGACCACTGGTCAGCGGAGGACGCGGCGACTCGCAAGCATCCATGTGACCTTCCACGGTTCATTCCACTGCCCCATAGGTCATGAACTACCGCCTGCTCTGCCTCTGCTGCCTCCTTGAACACGCTGGGGGACGGCAGCTTCAGTACAGGGCTTGGCAAAATCAGAGTGGTTCTCCCTGAATTTCTGTGGCAAACCCTGACCAGTCGGTTCCAGGGTTAGCCCAAACCTCTCTAAGCCAGCCAACAGGTTAGAGTTCACTACTACCCGCTTTAGGGACGGACTTCCTAAGACTGGAATTGGTAATTGGTCCAGGAGACCAGAAAGGGAAACAATGTGAGAATTTAGGAGTAAACGGTTCACATTTATCTTCCCCAGCTTAAATCTCAGATGTCCCACTGGCTGGACATTCTGCCCACTTTGAAGCCCCCTCTCACGGTGTAAGTGCTCCAGAAACAGCGGTCCAACCCACTACGTATGACGTCTGGGCAATGTATTATAAACTCCTCTGCAATCGCTCTGCCACCGAGGCACATCTCAGCCTTTCTGGAGCTTTTCATGCTCGTGATAGTGGCCACCATACGTTAATTCTTCACCGTCAATATTCGGAAGACTAGGGGAGAGACAGTTATCTTCTTACTGCATCTTTCCATGGTCCACAGACCCAATGTGTAGCCCCCCTCCCATCACCCACGGGCTCTGCCATTTCTGTGGAAAATGTAGTTCATCAAAGTCCCCCAGAGCCCAGCCCTGATGCACCGTCCACTCCAGCCTTTTTTTCTAGTCTTGGAAAGGCCACCTTTTCCCAACCTCACCACTCAGGAGATGTTCCCTTGGTATTTTGGAGTCAGTGGCCAAGAAGGTATCACAGGGAAAGGAGAGGGCAGTGGCTGTGGTCAGACTTCAAACTTGGTCAGTCATAGCACGACAGGTGCCATCGAAAGAGGCCTGTCTGGGAAGCTGGGAGGATAACAGGGAAGAGTCTCAGAAGCAGGGCCCCTGAAAAGCAATCCGCCGCCTAAAGAAAGACAAAGGAGGGCATGTTGAGCAGCTGAGTAAGGATCCATGGTGGTTCTGCGGTTTAGGGGAGCAGCAGTTCCAGGCACGGTACAGTTATGGTTTCTGAGCCTGCCCCTTGACAACACGGGCCCTTGAAAGTGGAAAGAGCTGATGTAAGCTTAAAGCATTTGGCTCATTCAACTCTGCAGTGCTTGGATTCTGAGGAACTAGTCCATGACCTCCACAGTATAAGCTCTAAGAGAACTGTAGTGGGGCTCACCTGGAACAGACTGGGTTCCAGGACAGCCAGGGCTACCCAGAGAAACCCTGTCTCAAAAAAAAAAAAAAAAAAAAAAAAGAAAGAAAGAAAGAAAGAAAAAGAAAAAAGCCGGGTTTGTAACTCATTACCCATCACTCAGAAGTGCTCAGGGGAGACAGTCCAAGCCAACCGCTGAGCAGAGGAGTGTCTGGGGTTTGAAGATGCTCCTTTCCCTGGGAAAACTAAAATAGAAACAAAGCCCAGGGTGCTGTAGTCATGCAGGTGCGGATGTTTGCCTGACAAGAACAAAATCATTTAAGTGATAAAGCGACCTTGCTTGTTTCCCTCAGCTGATGTGTGGGGCAGGCTGGCTCTAGAGGAAGATCAGTCTGACCATGGGGAGCAGCAGAAACCAATGCTGAAGGGCTGGTTTAATTAATTAGGAAAATGACTTGGTTAATGCTAGATAACAGCTGTTTCTGCTCCCCCACAAATGGGAAGGGCTTCTTTTGGTTAGGGCTCTCTAGAGGAACTAGGAGAATGAATATATATATATAAAAGCGGGATTAGAATGCCAACTTGTCACAAGCTAGGGTTACCTGGGAGAGGGAATCTAAGTTGAGAAAATGTCTGCATCACATTGGCCTGTAGACAAGTCCCGGAGTGATTTTCTTGGTTAATGATTGATGTGGGAAGGGCTCGCCCACGGTGGGCGTGTCACCCACAGGCATGTAGTCCTGCAATATATAAGAAACAAGCTGCGTGAGCCTTAAAGAGCAAGCTGGTAAGGATCGCTCCTCCGAGGTCTCTGCTTCAGCTCCTACCAGCTGGCGAGATGGCCCAGCTGGGAAAAGTGCTTGCCACCAAGCTTGACGACCTGGGTTCAGATCCCACAGGGTAGGAGGAGAGAAGCAGCCCTCAACATGTGTCCTCTGACTGCCACACCACACACACATAAAAAACAAACAAACAAACAAATAAATAAATGTTAAAAAAAAATTAAAAAAAGAAAGAAAATCCTTCACAGATGTGCCCAGCAGTTTCCATCCTGGTTCCACTCAAGTTGACAGCCCAGGTTAATGATTACACAACTCAGATGCCTCAGTGGGTGAGTGAATGAAGGAACTGTGGTGCATCATACATCAATAGAAGGGAACGGGGTAATTTGGGTGAGTCTGAGCACGCCAGTCACAAAAGGCTACCTAACGATTGTGTGATTAGACTTCTAAGAAAGAGGACTTTAGAGACAGATAACAAATCAGCTGTTTCCAGGGGTTAGGAGTTGGAGAGGACAGGGCTGTCTAGGGCAAGAGGGAGATCTTTGGGGTGCTGAAACCAGCTAGTTTGACCTGCACCTTTGGGGTGCTAAGAGTATGTGGTGGTTAACAAATGTATGCATGTATCAGGGCTCAAACAGGGCGAGAGGGCTCAGCCACCTTGCTAACAAACCCAGTGACATGAGTGAGCTCTATCCCCGGACTTACAAGGTAGGAGAGGAACTATCTCCTCCAAGTTGTCCTCTGACAGCAACATGTGCGCATGCCATTTGTATTCTCTCTCTCTCCCTCACTCTCTCTCACACACACACACACACACACACACACTCATCAAATAAATGCAATAAAAAGGTTTCTTTTTTAATAAAAAAAAAAAAGAACCCAACTCTAGAAAGAGAGTTCTTGATTCAACTGCAGTGTTAGTTTTATAGTAAGTACATTACAGCAGGAGGTGGGCGGGAGAGATTCGGAAGGAGGCAATAAATGAAGAAGGTTCATTAAGCTATTGTTTCTATCTTTCTGTGGGTTCCTGCGTGTGCCAGTACATTTGCATGGGTGCATACGTGTGGAGGAAAGAGGTGAGCTCATGTCATCCTTCAGGTCCTAGCCACCTTGGTTTTTTGAGACAGGATTTCCTACTGGCCAGGAGCTCCCTGATGTAAGCTGGATGGCCCGTGAGCTCTGGAGAGCAGCCGATATCAGCCTCCCCTGCACTGGGATTACAAGAATTTACGTCCAGATTTTGAATGTGTGTTCTGAGGATCAAATGCTGGTCCTCACGCTTTACCAACTGAGCCATCTTCCAGTCCCATGTTGATTCTATCTTTGTATATGTTTGAAGTATGCATATTAAATAGCAACAGTGAAAGTCGACTATGTGGCTTGCAGAATTCCCAAGACCAGGTCTAGGATCATTTGCCTGAGTGGTCTCAAAATCCTCCTATAGAAAACCCTGTAGCTGACACCAGAGGAGTCCCATCTGAGCTTAGATCACGCCCACAGCTCACTCGATAGGGAAGTTGCCTTTTTAGTTACCGCTCAAAAGTTAAAAAATTTTTAAGATTTGTTTTTATTGTGTCTGTGTGTGTGTGTGTGTGTGTGTATCATGTGCACACAGTGTCTGTGGAAACCAGAAGAGGGTATCAGATTCTCCTAGCACTGAAGTTACAGATGAGCCACCATGTTGGCGCTGGGAATTAAACCCAGGTCCTCTGCAAAAGCAGCCAGTTCTCTTAGCCTCTAAGCCTTCTCCCCAGATTCCAGTAAGTTAAATTTCTTAAAGGGCAGGGAATATGGCTCAGTAGTGGAAAGCTGGTTTGGCATGCACCATGCCCTGGGTTTGATCTGTAGCACGGAAGAAGCAGTTAACATCTGCATTCTCTGCCACTGTCAGAGACAGCGCTTTCTGGCTCCTCTTACCACTGGTTCCCTTTCACCGTCCTGAGCAGATTCCTCTGAGTGGCAGAACCCCCAAGCTGTGGCCATGTATGCCCTGGGAAAGGGAAGAGTTGGCATTTTATTATCTGGCATGGAAGGAAGACTGCCTCCCACTAAAACTCATGAGGACAGGGTACAAATGCTCAGCATCTGAATGAGGGACCATGGTAGCTAGCAGCTCTCCTTTCAGGTGTTGCCTTTAATTGCCTGTTTTGATCTGGAAATCTTTCATGTTATAGTAACGTGACTGCGTGTTTTCAGACACTAGACTGGCACACCGGCTGTCCGCTGCCATTGGAAGTCTTCCTTCACCTTCTCCGTCAGACCTAACCTGCTCTCACATGTTCTATCCCACAGACTTTGTTCTCTTCCTCCTGGCCGCAAGAGGTCAAAAGACAGGCTGGAAAGGTGGTTCTGTTGATGCTGCATGCACTTGTTGCTCGGGCCCGAGGGCCCAACTTTGGATCCCCAGCACCTAGATAAAAAGTGGGGTGTGCAGTGTGCATCTGTCACCCCGAATCTTGGGAGGCAGAGACAAGAAGATTCTTGGACTTCACTGTCTAACAAAATTGGTCTAACCAAATTGGTGAGCTCCGGGTTCAGTGAGAGGCACTGTCTCAAAAAGTTAAGCCGATTTCCAACCAAAGAACACACTTAATGCCAACCTCTGACCTACATATATACACCCACAGAGAGAGAGAGAGAGAGAGAGAGCGAGAGCAAAAACATATATATATATAATACATACATATACATATATACATACACACACACACACACACACACACACACACACACACACATATATATATATATGACATTCAGCCATGTCAAATTGCTTTGATATACTCAGAGGGAATAGAGTAGAAGGCAAGTTCACAAGTATTCAC